TGATTGAGCTACGGTGAGAGGGAAAAGTTCTTATAACCAGGCAGAGAAAATGGCATGTCATATTCCCAGTACAGATGAGTCTGTTTTCTGAGTGTACAAAATGCCTGTTGTTCCATAGTTCTTTGTTGCTAGAGAGGCATTACTACAGTGTTTCCCAAACTTGACAATTTTAAGGCATGAGGACTTCAATTCCCAGAATTCCACAGCCAGCAACGCTGGCTGTGGAATTCTGGGAGTTGAAGTCCACATGCCTTAAAATTGTCAAGTTTGGGAAACACTGCATTACTAGATGGACTGCAGGGGGAAAGGAAACCAGGGGAGCTGGGGGGGGGGGAGGAAAAAGGAAATATCTGCTGCACAGTCTTGTCTTGAGTTATTTGCGTTTCACCTTGATTTGAAATCCTGAGGTTCTTTAAATGGCCGTTGCTTCTTAGATTTACTCAGCAAATTAAACCAGTACTGTACTATTATGGATGGCTGCAGAGTCAGTTAAATGTTCAGACTGGATGTGGCACTTTCAGAGCTGTTGGTCTCTGATGATGCTAAAGGTAGCTTTGAGGAACATAAGCTGCTCCATGTTGCCTTTTGCAACTAACTGATGGTTATTTAGTCAATGCCAGTGGTGTTCAAGTAGTACTTTGGAATTGCACCCAAGGCAGCTATTGCTATTGGTACTGCCTTTGTTTTCTTTTGCCACAGTCATTCTACTTCTATTTGTAGGTCTTTGTATTTTGTGATTCCCCCCCCCCCTGTTCTTTCTCTTCTATTCCACTCTCACCAAATACTGCAGCACCCAGTATCCATAGTTTTTTTGTTTTTCTTATCAACAATTGTTGTTTATTATTCATAAGAAGAGATTGGACAAGCATTTGTCTGAAATCGTATAGGGCCTCCTGCTTGAGCAAGGGGTTGGACTGGAAGACCTCTAAGGTCCCTTCCAACTCTATTCTTTTGTCCTGTTATTCTTTATAGCCATATTAGTATGCTGTAGAAATGAAAATTATCCTGTTGGTTTTTGAAGATGTAAAAACAACCACAGAGTAAGCCTATTCAGGAGATGTTGGTTGAACATGCTAATAATAGCAATCTAGTATAAGATTAGACCAAGGTACATCAACGTATTCTCATGCACATCTCTCTGCTTTTGACTGTAATATTTTGTTGCGAGTGTCAATGGCACAGTGCCGTATTATTCTTGGCAATGAAGAGAGCACCCAGCTGCAGGGAAGGATGGAGTTTCTATATTTTTGATAGTTATAAGGAGAGAAACGTGTCATTTTCTATAGAAATGTCAAGGTCCTCCTGTGCTTCAGAAATGATTCAGAACAAGGGCTTTGGATGTTTGTGTATATGAAAGTTTTATACCTCTCCACTCATGAATAAAAACAGCTTAAGAGCTTTCCGTTTGTGTGTTAAGTCTGAGAAATGCTGTTACTTCAAGGACTCGGCAGATTAAGGTCAGTGTTACTCTTAAACAGGGCCTTTTAGTTTTCAATCTTGCACAGATTCCTAAAAATGATGGGTTTTCTCTCTGGAACGGTAGGCTGCGGTCTCCTTAAAATAAAACACGAGCCCAGGGAAAAACAGCTTCTTTAAGGTGCAGCCAATAGATGGAATGTATATACCCAGACCTCAATTCTCCTTTTATCTTTTGAATAGGGATTGTTGCCCAGACCTACTCAATAGCAAAGAGGTCTTTACCCACATTTCTCTGAAACATGTCGGAAGTAGGCAGAATCTTATGAATGTTCTTACATAAAAGAATTCCTCAGTTGAAGTCTCTGTTCCACAATATAGAAATGCTTTCTCAGATTGGGAAGTAACTAGCCTGCAGTGTTGAAGCAACATGCCAATTCCAGGATTATTTTTTTAAAAAATCCTAATATGGCAAAATGTTGTTTATTAGATCATTTTAGTCTCGGCTATCTATCTGCTTTAACAGTTTTAGCTGTTTGTATATTTTTTCTAGTTTGGTACATCATCCAGAATCCACTGGAGCTGGGTGAACCAAGAACATTTCCACTAATACTGATAGAGCAAGCACTAGTATAAACAAATAAAATAAAAGCAAATCTCCCCTACCTTCTAGCCCTGATGAAGTTACTTAGTTGGGTAATGAAACATCTGCAAGAAAACATCAAGCGCATCAAGGATCCCACAGTTCAACCCTTAGCTATTCTATCTCTTGGTAGCATTAGCTTAGTCTTGTGAGCTATCAGCATCAGCCTTCCCATTCCCTGTCTGCAACCCAAATTCTCAAGCTACATTTCTTTACTTGCATCTATTCAAATAGACAAGGAATTGTGACTTTCTATAGTTTAACACACTGAAAAAGAACAGGACTTACATTCCCACACAGGTATGGATACCCAATAGTTAATGGTTTATCCCTCTCCACATTGCTCTGCCTGCCACATACTTGTTGCTCTGAGCCAGTGTTGTAACACAAGAAGTTTGTCTTTGCTGCTAACACCTGGTGTTGTTGCAAAGAAGCCAGATGATTTTAACTCCAGGCTCAGGTGATTGATGATCCCCTCTTTTGTCTCGCAGAGTAAGTGCCTCCCACTTTGGATGCAGATGTTGCTGTAGTTGTTTAAAACGCCCCCTTTTATTCTTCCTATTTGGCTAGAGAAACCAATACAGCAGTGCTGAAAGAACGGAGGGATTGAAAGCACGTTCCTCTCTCCTAGATACAATTGGGATGAATTAAGCCTGATATCTGTTTTTAGAAATGACAGGCTTTGGGATTTTTAAAACCTTGGACGCCAAGTCACAGGATCAGCTGGCAAATGTTCCATGGAGCAAATATCATAGCCAAACAAGTAATGAAGCCTGGCTGATTCAAATCTCTTTTTAGATTTTTACTCACTTGGCAATGAAAAATCTTGGATTAAGATGAAGTAAAGTTCATAAACAGTCAAATTAAGTCATCCTGTTGGCTTGAGCTTATTTGACTCTGTGGATATTTTATTTTGCACTTACTTTTATTATTTTCCCCTGGCAAGTTAACTCTGCTGAGGTAATGAACAGCACCCAGTTTTTCTGAGCTACTACAAAGCTTGTCCGTCTGCATTGTTTTGAAAAATATGAAGCTTGACAACGTAGATGATTACATCTTTTGAAATATTTTTTTTCAAAGCATTTTAAAAACAGGCCTTTCCCAATCTGGTCTGGGAATTCTGGGAGCTGTAATCATATTAGTATCCTATTATGATTTATGTTGATTGCTTTAGTATCCTACGACTATCACTGAATGTTGTATCTATGATTTAGGATGATTGTATTTTTAGATTACGATTATCATGATTATTGCTTGAATGTACACTGAGAGCTTATGCAGCGGAGACAAATTCCTTGTGTGTGTCCGATCACATTTGGCCAATAAAGAATTCTATCATCAGGGATACAAAAGATGTTAGTGTGCAGTTTCTCTGGAATCAAATCTGGGATCTGTAATTAAGAGCCGAGGTGGCACAGCAGTTAGAGTGCAGTACTGCAGGCCACTTTAGCTGACTGTGTTCAGCAGGTCAGCGGTTCAAATCTCACCGGCTCAAGGTTGACTCAGCCTTCCATCCTTCCGGGGTAGGTAAAATGAGGACCCAGATTGTTGGGGGCAATGTAAATATATATATACATTGCTTACTGGTGTACACCGCTTAGAGAGTGCTTGCACTTAAAGCGGTATATAAGTCTTATAAATAAATAAATAAATTCCAAGGAATCTGTGCAAGAACTATTTCAAAACACAATTTAGTTAACCTCCCCTTCCTCAAAAGAAAATGCTTCAAAAGGATAAAGAAATTGTTCTTACTTTTTAAATTATACAAGGTGTTTAGGCTTTTTACCAGTTGGTTTTCTTGTTTAGAAAGTCCAGGAGAGTAACAGCAAAACCAAGCTTTCTCCACAGAAAATACAAGGACATTCTTTTCTTGTTAGCTTTCCTTGAATTACCCACATAATATACAGTGCTGTGTGTTGTGTGGCCATTGCAGGAATCTCCAGAAGAAAAGGCAACCCTTTGAAAATGGATCAATGTGAAATGCAGTTCAGTATTCCACGTATTTACTGGGAAATACTTCCCATTGAAGTTCATTCCCAGATGACCACATTAATCAACTCCACCCCAAATGAACAGATTCAGAGCTATTGGCAAAATATGGAAAGAAATCTAAAAATGGTGCTCAACATTTATTTGATGCATATCTACTCCTTTTGAGATAGGGTCATCAAAACAATCAAAAAGTTAAAATTGCATTTTTTTCTTCCATTCAATTTTGCATCGTCTAAGAGCCATGGCAAGTGCATGACTTGCTTTTGCAGCATTTCCAGGGTCTTGTGATTTACATTCAGATGCTTGGCAACTATTCATATTTATGATGGTCATGGTGTCCCAGGGTCATGTGAAACGACCAAAACCTGTTGCAACCACCCAGCAGATGGGGGGAATAAAAACCAAACACCCCCCACCCCACCCCTGCTACCAAATCTCAACAGAAATGCTCACAACAATGAAAACCTGGGACAGGAGGAAGAGCGCTGCCGGGCAGGCAGGCGTCTTGCTCGGCTGTGGCTTGGGGGGGGCACTTTTTTCAGGGCCATTGTAACTTCTAACAGTCACTAAGCAAACTGTTGTAAGTCGAGGACTACTTGTACTTTATCACTTTTTTCCTTTTTTGGGGGGTCATCAAGTTTTTGACACCTTGCTTGGCGACTGGTGGTACTCGGATGTTGCCAAATCCTAAAAGTGGTACAATGGGTGAAAAGGTTGAAAAGTCCTGAGCTAGAGCTACGATGCAACCTTAAAGATGGTTCCTAAGGACTATCCATGACTTTTGAATAGACACGGTTAGGATTACAGAGTCAAATGTTGTGATTCAACCCAAGGAGACGTTCACTCTGTGCTTAAACTTTCCTATTAACCTCCAAAAACATTCTAAAGAACTTATCTTGGGCTGAAATTTGTTCTGTGTGCATCTTTTGAAATCACGACCCACATGACATTTTTCAATGGATTGAATTTATTACAATATATTTATTTGCATTTTGTTGACCATCAAAATGATTTTTAATAGAGTCCCAGCATTACTGCACACATACACAGAGAAAATATTTCCCTCAAATATATATCCATTAATAATTCTCCCACTTGCCCTCAAATTCCATCGCCATTATTTGATTTTCAACATATGGAACTGAATAGCCATAAAATGTATCAAAATAAACAGGGATCCACCTTGCATATTTTAGTTTAATATATGGGAGACCATATAAACAGCGCATATATTGACTTTCTATTTAGAAAAGGTATCTTTTCTGTAATAGAAAACCATCAATACACCAGAAGTGAAGAGGGTCTTTTTTTTCTTTCACAGAAAGAATTAATTCATCCATACCATGTTTATTGTGCAAATTCAGCAATGCCATTTTAATGTATGCAGAACTACCTAGCCAAATTAAAAACTATTTAGAAACTATATCTGCCACCAATTTTAATTTTTAACAATAAAGCTTAAAAATGCTTTAAAAAAATATTCCTTCCCTACCAGTGCCATAACTATCAGCTGAAATCCTTCTCAGCAACTCCATTCAACACTACAATAGCATTTCTAACAAAGTTTAGGCAAGTTTTTAAAAAATAAATTTGACGCCCGGTATATTAAAATCAGCAAATAAGAACAAAATAAATTTGCCCTGGTTTCTCAAGTGATTTCACGTATTACTATAGAAATTCAGAGTTTGCCTCAAGTATTATTGCAGTAGAGTATGTGTTGGGTGATCAGGACAGACCCACTCAAGAATTCTCAGTTTAACCTTGGTGAGTCCAATTCCTGAAAATATTTACTGTTGGTTTATGAACAATTCCTTAAAATTCCTGTTTATAAGGCAATTTTTTCATCCTTTAAAAACTAGAATAAGAAAACAATCTGCATGTACCAAGTAGTGAATCCCACTAATTTTTAGCTGTGCTCTTGTAATTTAAGTAAACGGGAATGAAACCTGTTTAATAGGACTGGGCAGAGTTTTACATTCAATACCCCCAAATGTGTTCAGAGCAAAACAGGAGGTATAACATCTCTCTGCAACTGTAAAGCAGCTGCACCAAAGCAAGATCCAAAGTGCTACACAACACTATTGTTTAACCTTGGCTGGATTGTGCACATTTTGTTCTGAGAATTCAAATACAAATTCAAAATGGCAAACACATGTCCTGGCTGTAATGTGCATTAAGAGGAACGAGCAAGAGAAGCATTCTGCAACAAGAGAAACATGCCCCAAAAGCGATAATATTGAAACAAGTTTTTCCCATGGCTTTCTGTTCCCCAGGCTAGACTTTTGGATTATAAAATGTTGCTAAATCCATAATTGTGTTCTTGGACCTGAGAAGTAGATTTCATGTTGCTCAACTAGCAATTTTAAAGACCTTAAAACTGTCCTGGTTTTGGATCAGTACCTGTATTTCTTTATGTACTGTGATATTGCCCACATATAGGAATCAATGTACATTCAGAAATAATTGAGGAGAAAAAAACACTTTACTAATCCCAGTAAGGTATGGTGTCCAATCATACTATATATAGGATGTCACAGGCAAGGAAAATAACAAAATCCCCTTCAAGGGAATGAAATGGAATGTGTGATCTAGTCCTACGCATCCGACTCCATCTTTATCCACTACCTGCTGATAAGAATTGCCATGGCAAATTACTTTCATTTCAGTTACTGGATTTGCATCATAACTTTAGACTGGAGACATAATGTTTAGTCCTCTTTTTTTTGCAATTGTAAGCAAAAGGAAATAAATAGATGTTTCATTATAGATATTCCTTACAGCTATCGATACCCTAATTCAGCTACTGGAATACAAAAGAACATGCTTGTATGCCTCTTAAAGCGAAACATGTAGAAATATGGTTGTGCACACATAATCCCTCTTCAATTTCAACAGCTTGGGCTTTAGACATGGGAAGTTGTTGTTTTTTCCAAAAAGCTGATTAATAGAGTTTGAAAGAGAAACTGATTCAAATCTCAACCCCATTTCTCCTTCCCTATCAAGCAAAATGACTTTGGGGTTGAGCACTTCTGGTTTTACATGCTCCTCTTTAGCTTTTGTATTGATTTTAAATTATTTTATATATGCTGCTTTGGACTGCCAAGAACAGTAATCAGAGGAAACAGTGATGCTGCTTCAGAAAGGGCTGTGTATTCACACAAAAATTAACAGCACAGAAGGAATTAAATGTGAACATAAAACCAATTTCTAGCTGGGCCATGGCTATAGTCACCCACAGTCCTGATTTGAATCGATCTTCATTCCAAAGATTGTTGAGAACATATGATTTAATCATGTGGGCTGTCTTACAGGATTAAAATTGCAAATTTTAAACACAATTAATGTATGACAAAATTCAACTGTACTGATGGGGCTTATTTCTGAGTAGGTGTATCAGTTGCGCTATAAAGCTAATGACATAATTATTTGGCGGAATGTGCATTGCAGGAGCCAGCGTGTGAAATTAATTCATTAAATATAAAGAGTGACAAGCTATCATACTGAATGTAACTTTCACTATCAGTTGTAAAAGTGCCACTGAGTTAATGGCAAACAAATTTCCTAAAATAGTTTGTATCTTACTTAAAATTGGCTTATGGCTTTGGACCTAATCTAATTATATTTTTATAATACCCAATCCATTATATTTTTTCAGAAGTTAGGCTCAATGACTTTATTGGGACTGAAACTAATTTAACTTTATTGTAATTAACTTTGGCCACTGTGTTTGGGAGCTGCTAAAGTGCAATTATGAAAACGCAAATAGGCAGAATTCTGAGTTCCCTTTTAAAAGAAGCAGAATTTATATAATGGCAAGTGAGGTATATCTAAAATTGATATGAGAAGGATTCCAAACAATTTCTCCTAAGGGGTATTATTTACTCAGAAATCAACAAGAGAAAAATATTAGATTTAAATTTTAACATAGTGAGAAAGATCTTTTAACATATGTTCTAACCATCTCAACAGCATTTAATTTTGCCCAGTCTCTCACTTTAAAAAAACTTACAGGCCTCAAACCTATTGTCTTTATGTCTAGTCTTAAACTGATCACCTAGCAACCTTCCAACAAATATTAAAAGGAAATAGTTTAATAAAAGCAAGGATTTTGTTTTTTTAAAAGATTATTTGATATACAGTAAACAATGGAAATCTGCATTTTAAAGAAGGCCAGCAACTTGTAAAAAGCAACTTCTCTCAAAAACAATCTAAAAGGTTCATTTATAATGTTGAACCTCAAGACAGTCAAATGTAACAAAAAAAGGGAAGATAATGATTTCTCCTAATTGCATCAAGAAAAAAATGAAATGTAAAGGAAAAACTCTCAGTAATGGCTGTCTATAATATAGGGCGCCCCACATCGTATTAATCTCAACATTGTGTGTTAAAATAAAAAGAATACTGAAGGAAATATCTTCAGAGGGTTTAAAATCAGCCAGCTCCTTAACCCTTCACATCTAGTTCACATAGTGCAAATAAAATATGCTGAACCAGCAACAAAACAATTCAAGAAAATTCACTAAAAATACTTCCAGACGTGTTTCCCTTGCCGTTGGAAGCAGAAACCTTTGCGTACTATGTTAGATGGGAAGAGCCACATCTATTTAAATGGCAACACTCTTCATGGAAAAGAAAAGAGGAAAGGCAGAGGTCTCCACTGCCAATTATCCTTCTAAGACACACTATTTGAAAAGCATAGGTCATAGTAGTAAACTCTAACTATGACCATAAAAATATTGCACTGTGGGACCTCTGGTGGGCCCAAACCTTCTAGCAGGATTAAGATGAAACACAGCGTAAAGTAATAGTAGCAGGTTCAAGATTTGGCTAAAACTTAGTAGAGCCAATTAACCTCGTGCAACTGATAATCGAAGTGCATTCAATTCCTTAAAAAAAAATTCATCATAAAATGAAATTGAAAGAACAATTTGGCAATGGTACATATTGACAGAATTGGAGGCTAGAATCATACCCCTATCAATACAAACTAGTACAGTGCTAGTGATCACAGCCATGCTGTGTTAAGCTTATCAACCGACTGAATTTTGTTCACTTGATCTCAACGTATTTCGTTGACGACCATTTTGGGGGGGAGTATAAAAAATGCACGTGTTACACCTCGAAGGCTTAGAGTTATTTCCTCTTCCTCTACTGAGAAGTAGGAGATGGAATGGCTCCGGTAGTGGTTCAAGGGGCAAACATGACACTGTGCTTTCAAAGCTCACATGGAAACACTGAAGGCTGTAGAGGACTTCAATTTTGAAATTTCCACTACCACGGTACCCAGAACTGTCCCTTTAAAAAGAATATATTGCACTGGGTACCTCTTTAAGCATTGTGCTGGTGAAGAGCTGGATGGGCAACCTTGAGAAATGTTATTTTAAAGAACAACGGTGATTTCTGAACTGATTTTTTTTTTAAACCACATCCCAAATTCTGTTTGAGGTGCAAAATGCAGTTGAACAACTGAAGCACAGAAGAGCTGAGATGTTGAGATGCTGCCAAGATGTTTCAAAAGAGTTATGGTAAACTAGAATGAACATCTTGATTTTCAAAAGGTGGCAGTGGCTCCCTCCAATATGTGAACTGACTGTAGGTGTCAGAACAGGGGAAATCTGAAGAATGCCTTCTTTTCAACAAGGGAAATACATGATCCACCACTTCGCAAAGTCTCACATACCTGTAAGGGAAGAGAGAATGGGGGGATGGGGGGGGGAAGAGAGAGAGAGAGAGAGAAACATATGAGATATTATCTAAACCAGGGGTCCCCAACCTGTGGGCCGCAGCCATGGCCTCTTGGCCACTGGACCGTGTGAATGGCTGACCAGTGCGTGCACGTGTGCTCTGTGTGCATTCCCCCCACTCGCGCTAGCGCTGTCTTGAGTGTCACACGGGGACTAGCCCCGTCCATTGTACAGGCGCTAGCCCCGAGCTCAGCACATATGGGTGCTAGCCCTGCCCCCAGCATCACGCAGGTGCTAGCCTTGCTCCCATCGTCACATAGGCACTCACCCCATCCCCAGCTTCACATGGGCTCTTGCCCCACCCCCAGCTTTGCATGAGCATTCACCACATCCGCAGCATTATGCAGGTGCTCGCTCTGCCCTCAGCATCGTGAACACACTCGCACCAGCCCCATTTGCATACATGCGGCCACATGCCTGCCCCTTTCTTTCCCTAAAAAAGTTGGGGACCTCTGATCTAAACTATTTTGTTTATTTGTTTAATTTACATGCTGCCCTTCTCACCAATAAGGCAACTTTAGACAGCTCATAAAAACAGTAAAAAGGTGGAAAATAGACCATTATTACTGATGTCATGAATTGCATGAACACAACTCAGGCAAAATAATTAGAAAAACATAACATCCCTACAGCCTTTGAACTTATCTCTGAACATTAGGCATACTGGTGTGATTTTCTAAAATAGTGCTAGGAGTTGAGATGCTGCTGAAGATTTGTAAACAGCAGTTAGTCAGCCTTACAGCAAAAGACTTGTAAGAAACTAACCCATAACAGTTTTACCAAACCCACTGAAGTAAAAACAGCTACAATAGCATTTCCTGCAGCTTACGGAAATGAACAGGTGAACAAGTAAGGCGTTTTTAAGAGTGAGGCTTTCAATGGCTAAACTGAAATTATCCTGATGTTCGGATTTTGTAGATTGGAAAGAGCAGGATAGAGATCTAGGTCAGGGGTAGGCAACCTTGGCTCTTTTATGACTTATGGATTTCAACTTCCAGAAATCCTGTGTCAGCCATGCTGAGGGGAAAGGGAGAGGTTTCCAAGCTGAGCCATGCTGGCTCAGGAATTCTGGGAGTTGAAGTTCACAAGTCATAAAAGAGCCAAGGTTGCCTACCCCTGATCTAGATGAAAGCAACAAGATCTTATTTTTCCTAATCAAATTTATTAACTTTAGGGAAACTCCATCTGTATCCAAGCTTTACATTTCCCTGTATAATCATTTTTTCCCACCAGAATTTCAACTTCAGAAAACCTATCAAACACAACCACCAGGGTAGACATACAGACAGCTTATGAGACGGCAGAAAACAAAAGTTTGGAAAGGAGAGAAGTTGTTAATGGATTTTACCTACAACAGGACTCAGTCATTCTCTTTCTTAGAGATGTTTACTTGATTATTCTGTTGTATGCACAAAATACCCTCATCTTATTGAAATCTTAAGAGGGCATTTTTTAAATCCCTGCAAGTGTATTTTTAAACCAAAAGCGAGTGTCCTTTAACAAAGAGATTGTTTAAATAAAGAAAGCGCTGAATCCAGTACTTTTTTATCTCTACACAACCAAAGTGAATGTTGGGAATGTGCATCATATCACTGAATTTTTATTTCAAGTCAATTCATTTAATTCCTGTTATAACTTCCAACATCAAGGACTTAAGAAGAAAATCAGCACTACATAAAGCAACAGAAAAATACTCACGATGAAATGTTGGTCTTAGCATGCTCTTGAATTAGTTCTCCTTTTGGATTAACAGTGAATATTCTGTTTAGTGAAACTCCAACTTGCTTGTACGAGTACACATCCTGGACAAAATAACAAAAATATATGAATCTCATCAAAATAACCCACAAATAGTTTTAGGTGTATATATTACAGGCACAGTTACAAAAATATATTCCAAGTACTACTACTACTAATAATAACAACAGTAAAGTTGGAAGGGACCTTGGAGGTCATCTAGTCCAACCCCTTGCTTAGGCAGGAAATCCTATATCATTTCAGACAAATGGCTGTCCAGTTTCTTCTTGTAAACTTCCAGTGTTGGAGCATTTACTGCTTCTGGAGGCAGGTTGTTGCACTGGTTAATTGTTCTAACTGTCAGGAAGTTTCTCCTTAGTTCTAGGTTGCTTCTCTCCTTGGTTAGTTTCCACCCGTTGCTTCTTGTCCTGTCTTCAGGCGCCTTGGAGAATAGCTTGACTCCCTCTTCTTTGTGGCAGCCCCTGAGATATTGGAACACTGCTATCATGTCCCCCTTGTCCTTCTCTTCGTTAAACTAAACATACCCAATTCTAGCAACTGCTCCTTATATATTTTAGCCTCCAGTCCCCTAATCATCTTTGTTGCTCTTCTCTGTACTCTTTCTAGAGTCTCAACATCTTTTTTACATCGTGGTGACCAAAACTGGATGCAGTATTCCAAGTGTGGCCTTACCAAGGCATTGTAAAGTGGTATTAATACTTCATGTAATCTTGATTCTATCCCTCTGTTAATACAGCCTAGCACTGTATTGGCTTTTTTGGCAGTTGCAGCACACTGCTGGCTCATATTTAAATGATTGTTCACTAGGACTCCGAGATCCCTGTCACAGTTACTACTATTGAGCAAGGTACCCTCTATTCTATACCTGTACATTTGGTTTTTCTTGCCTAAATGTAGAACCTTGCTTTTTTCACCATTGAATTTCATTTTGTTAGATAGTGCCCAGTGTTCAAGTCTGTCCAGATCCTTCTGTATCTTAAGCCTGTCCTCTGGAGTGTTGGCTATTCTTTCAAGTTGATCAGAATTTCTGGGGCAGTAGTTTTCACCGTAATAACACAGAAATGATTTGCCACCATTGTTTTACAACAATTATTTTAAACATTTCCTAGTCACGATCACCATTAAAAACTAGCAGCAAAGTTTCACAAACATTCAGTGATTGCTTGATCTGGCTGCTTAGGGAATGGAAGCAATATAGAAGGGTGTATCTGAGCACAGATAAGAACCTTTGTTAAGGATTATCTTGAGAAGATAAGAGCAGTGTGTGCATTTCTCTGCTGTTGCTGTGTCTACTGACTGTCCATCTGCAAATTTAAGCTGATTCAATTACACCTAGGGAGGGACCAGTGGAATACCTACAAGGTCATTGAGGGCTATTTTCATTATCTGTTGGGTCTGATCTACTTTGAGCTGAATGTCAGCCGTGCAAGTTCTTTGCAGGTGATTGAGGCACAGTCCAGTTCCATTATCTGGGAAGGGTTTGAATCTGTTAGTTCTGAAATAAGGGCCAGGGTTTGTGAGGGGCTGTAAGTGTGGCCACTTGTGTTTCAGATCTATGTCCATTTAGGTTGGTCAAGTTCTCTCAGGAGGTGGTATGGTTGGATCTATATAGTGGTGAACTCATCCTTGAGCGAGGGGATGGTTCTACTGACTCTGGAGGAGATGGTTTGATCCTGCCTCAAGAAACCATTGCAGGATCCAGCAACATTGGAAAATTAGAGTTTCAATGGGCACTCCTGGAAGAAACAGATTCTTTGGACTCCTTTAGTCCAGTCTCAAACCATATGTAGCACTGAGACGAACGATGGCATCCTTCCAAACCAGATCTAGGGTGGTCGGAAACAGATCGAAATGGCCCAAGCCAGCATGGCCAACTGGGGCAGTGGGAATTGTACTTTAACAGAATCTGGAGAATAATTTTGAACTGAACAATAAATCCACAGTGCCAATGCTGTGGAAGAGCTCTTTGGGAACAATCATCCCAGTTGGTACTTACAGCAGGCCTGTTGCCAAAAGCAGCATAAAAAGGTTCTGTGTTAGGATGAAATAAGTTTTTTATGTCAGTTAAACACTGAACTTTAAATTTCTCTGGCTTTTTCTCTATCACTTCCCTGAAATAAAAGAAGAAAATAAAATTAGGTAAAAAAAAATAAAAGAAGATAAATATTAGATGATAATGCTTTTATGTTCTTTCAGCTATGTAAACAGTTTCAATTGATGAAGACTTCTGACTAATAATCTCTCAAGGTTTTCAGAAATATTTCATGCTCCATAGGGCTGTTTAAAATTAAATGTGAAGACTCATTCTATGTACACAAAGAAGGCCAATTGCATTGCTATAAGCCTGCTGATTTTGGCAATGTGAGAGCTGTGTTCATTTTTGCCTGAAATAGCTTAAATCTCACTGCTTTTTCATCAGACTCACATAATTATCTTTCTTTAGAGTTGATTCATAAATACTGAATTCAACAACATGCATTACTGGACCACAATATTTTACTACAATGTTTCATATATGATACCTTTGCAACCATACGTAACTGTTGACACCCTAATCTTATTGGTAATAAATCTAACCCCTGAACCATTTCAGGAATGGAAAAAATAACACCTTGTTTACGGCAGGGTTTCTCAGTTTTGGGCCTTTTAAGAGGTGTGAGCTTCAACTACCAGAATTCCGGGAGTTGATATCCACACCTTTTAAAAAGGGCCAAAACTGAGAAACACTGGTCTAAGGTGGCAAGACCAAGCGCTGTGATACCTGTGAAAAGCTGAGAACAAACTGCTGGGACTCAATAGCACAGGCCCTTGTGGTAACACCGTTCCCCGCTCATTCACCCAATGCAAGTAACCTCGAGTCATATCTGCCATCCCAATAGCCCGGGCTGAACAGTACAGGAACTTATATCCATTTCTGTGGTTTTAAAGAGAGAAAACATGCCACCATCATCATCACACATTTATTTAAATCGTTTTTGCGGCCTACGGAGATTATTATAGTTACGTACTAGATTTTCACGGGTGTAGGTATGCAGGTCTTGGTGTATTCCAGCACTCCACCACCCCCCCACACCAATATATAGAGAGAGATGGCAGCTCTGATCACACTTTGCTCGCACAAGCATGAAGCCGAAGACCCCAGCCTGAAGATGACGAGTGGGACCTCGTCAAAACGTCGCCAAGATACTCTCAATCTTACACAGGAAAAGACCCGAATACACCAAGACCTGCATATACATATACATATACATATACATACATACATAAAACATTTGTGACTTTCCTAGCCAGACTCCAACAAGCAAAGTCAATGGAGGAAGCCAGATTTGCTTAACTATCACATGATTCATTTAACAACTGCAGGAATTCACTTAACAACTTCAGGGGACAAAAGGCCATTAAAATGAGTGTGACTCACTTAACAACCCCTTCACTTAGCAATGGAAATTCTGGTTACAATTGTGGCTGTGAATTGAGGACTACCTTTGTACCTCAAAAGGTATACAAGTCCAAATACAGATATGCAAGAAAATTGAGCATAGTTCATGTCCATGAGTTCTGCATATTCATTAAAGAAGGAGAAAAAAAATGGCTCTTAAGTAAGTTGGGTGGACCACTGAAACAAATGTCTTTTTTTATGCTAACTTAATAACTTCCAGAGTTCTGGATTTCAACTCCCAGAATTTCCTAGTCAGTATGGCTGGTTGAAGAATTCTAGGAATTGAAGTCCACAAGTCTTAAAGTTGCCAAATTTGGAGGCCCCTGTGCTACACTATGATTTCTGAAAGATCACATTCAGGGATGTTCCAGGAGAGGGCAAAAATGGTAAGAGCTGCCTCTTGTTAGGCAGCCATGCTATTTATCATTCCAAAGCTGCCCATCCTTCTTCCTAAAGGATGGATGCTCAGTTCTCAATATTAGAAATATTCTTAGCTTAATAAATGGCATTTGTTTTTATATGACAACTCATAGGCAGTGGAAACTGACATTTAAAAAGGAAGAAATGTGATTTTGCAGAATAGTTAATATACTTACTGGCTCACTTTGTGATACAATTTAGCAATGCCTTGATGTGTCCAGTCCTTGCCAAGGGTAGGCAAAATATGACCTAAAGTATCTGATCTGAAAAAACAGAAGATATTTGAAACCAACAAGAAATATACAATAACAACCTGTATTTGTGGAATACAGAAAACACTTTTGGCAGTTAACATTAATATACTGTCAATTAATTTTACTAACTATTTTCCATCTTGTTGGTCAGAATAATTACTTTAATGATGTCTAGCAATGCAGGAATATATTTAGAAATATCACTCACTTTTTTTATTTTCCAAACAATTATCTTCATTTTACAGTGGGAGTGTTGGAAATATTCTAATTTTGACTCTACTGACTTGGTAATAGTATTATTATCAATATCCTTCCATAAGTAAATTGTATATTAGAAGCAGCAGTTATTTTAAGCCACTTTATCATACACTCTTTCACTTCTGTTTCAAATTTCAATAAACATTTATACATTTTAGCAATTATGTGTTCCTATTTGTACACAATTCTATTTCAAACTCAATCCTACAATGTTCAGAACCATGAATTCTTTTATCTACTTTAACATTTTATAATAATTGTAAATAAAAAAACATTGATAAGTATATCCCTCTATCACTAGTTCTTCTGTTGGTTTTATTTTACATTTCCCTTGACAGAATTCTAATAACTCACGATAAGTAAGCTATTTATGTTTGCTTACTATTGCACATCCATTTACTTGTTCTAATAGCAACAAAGGTGTTTTGGGCACAAACTGGGTTTGTATCTATTCCCTATTTTTAGTATGGCACATATAGCAGAATTTGATGCATTAGTAGGATTTAAGATTAATAAACAAAAGCTAAAGATTGTAATAAAAAATATAAAAAATGCAAGATAAAGCAGAATTGATGAATAAAAGGTTTAAAATTGAGGAGAAGATAAAATATTTGTCATCATATGACAAATATGGATTATATATTACTTCCAAATAACTATGTTAAGACATAGAATGAAGTTAGAAAAGATATGTTAAAATGTTACAATTGATATTGCTGGGAAGAATTTCTATGATTAAGATGAATGTTTTGCCTAGAACAGTGGTGGCAAACCTATGGCACAGGTGCCAGAGGCGGCACTTAGAGCCCTCTCTGTGGGCACGCGGACCATCACTGGATTTTATAAAATCTTTTCGCTTTAGGCGAAAAAAAAGATTCAATTAATCAGTCAATTTCAACTTCTCGTGGGAAAAAAAAGATCTTGCAAAGTTGGAATTGATTGATTGAACTTTTTAGTCCCACCCAGTCTGCTGTTACCGCTGTAGCCATGCCCACTCAATGGGCCACACCCACCCGGCACCCAACAATGCATAAGTGGGTTTTGGGTTGCAGTTTGGGCACTGGGTCTCTAAAAGGTTCGCCATCACTGGCCTAGAATATTGTGTTTATTTCAGGCAAAACAAAACATCAGTTCATCAAAACATCAACTGATACACCAATTAAACAATCCAGAAGAATATATCTAAATTTGTGTGATGGGAAAAAAATACAAGTTAAATATAAGGTGTTGCAAAGTACAAAGAAAAGAAGAAACTATATTTTGCAGCTTGATGTTTGATTTGGATGAAAGAGTGGGTGCTGCTGAGAAACAGAATGTTTTTGGAATTGTAATGACACAACCTGAGATTTGGGTGGCATGGATAATTGCAATACGATAAAGTTAAGGTTAATGTAGATTTTAAAAAATCATCATGTTGGACGTGCTATAAAAAGCAGCAATGGGTTCACGCTTCCCACATAGGTCATTCTACATTTTGGCATTTTGGAGAGGGGAGGGGGCATTTCTTTTTGCATACTGTATAGACCTATCCACTGCCATTTATAAACCATAATGTGTCAATTCAGCTAATTGTGCTTAATTCAATAAGCCACATTTATACAAACTGTGACTTAGCATGACAAAAAAAATCAGATCTCTGACTTCAGCAATAAAAACATAGATAGATTAGATGGATGGATGGATAGAGATAGATAGATAGATAGATAGATAGATAGATAGATAGATAGATAGATAGATAGATAGATAGATAACCTTGTCATTTTTTCCTGTGGGCACAATGGCACACATTAAAAATGAAATTTAGTTGCTTTCTCTCAGTGTACACATACATAACACATTTAAAACATACTATATACAACATAGACCTACACCCTACATATAAATATTATTCACATATATAGGAATGATCAAAGAACACTTTAAAATGGTTACTAAAATTAACAAACCAAACAAGAGGATACAGAAGAACTGCAACCACTGACTTCCTGGGCTATGAAAAACCAAGAAACATCTACCTGTACCTCCTGCAACATTTTACCCATATTGTGGTCAGGAAGAGTATCTCCTGCAGCTGGCCACTGTCTAGCACATAAAAGAACAGGAAAGTACATTCTCCTATCTCTTTCAGTCAGACCGGCAGAAAACCACTATATTTTTTGTGGGTCACTCTTGTATCACATAACAGAAGCAAATAGCTGGCATCCCCACTTTGTCTGATGTGGCACTGTGTTTAAAAATGGCCCAGTGCTTTTATATGCTGTATAACACACAGACTGTGCCATCAATGTGTTGCTTGGAGTACGGTAGTTTGGTCCTTAAGTGAAATGTATACACAACTCCACCACACTAAACCGAAAAGACACTTCAAAGGAAATCTTTTAACATTGTTTCTGTAGGACTTAGGTTTGCTCTTTCACAAATCATGAAATAGCCCACCTTTTAGTATTTGCTGCTCAGTTTAAAGTAAAAACATCACTATTGGTTTATCTTATCAAAGAGAGCAGAACATAGTATTCCCTGAACAGACATGTGTCATTCTGTGTCTGGCTAAAAACTCACCTTGTGATGGTGCCATCAATGTCAGAAATAATGACTTTGTCATCCCAGTTCCATAAATAAATGGTACCTTCACAGCGACATGTTCCTTGATATTGTGTTGTGACACTAAAAGTGACATCATTGGGACCATTTTTAAGATTGAGATTTTTCTGTTAAAAAAAAAATACACACAGTCTAGAATGTAAACTTATTTGAAGGAAATATATATGGAATTGTAGTTCAAATGAAGTTGAAATTATACTTACAGCTTCCAAGCTAACAATTTATGCTCATAGATTTAATATTAGGGAAATATTTCATTTCACACCAACTAATGAATCATTTTGTTTTGGCCTTAAGAAAACCTACAAGGGGGAAGTCCACTAGTGTACAAAGCCATGACACATAAAATTCCTTAGGAAAATCTCATTAATGCTATAGGTAATTTTGGCATATACAGACAGTAATCACGTTAAGCTTTCCCAAAATAATTTTATAGACACTTAAACATCAACTTTGGTTAAAGCAAGATGCCTCCTTCGCTTGTATTCAAAGCTGAGCCTATAGAATGAAATGCTATGTTATCAAAGAAGCCCCGTTAGCCAAAAAGATGTGAAGACTCAAACTGGACTTCTAAAAGTTATGCCCCATCTCCATCACCAATCAAGAATCTCTTCTTGTCAGTCAGAATTACAATGCAAACACTCAGCTTCTCTTTTCTCCTTTTATAAAAATTATTCAGACAGGCCTAAATTATTTATGATTATGATGATTTATTACTTGTTGCTTGCATATACACTGACAGCTTATGTACCGGAGGCAAATTCCTTGTGAGTCCAATCACACATGGCCAATAAAGAATTCTATTCTACTCTAAATTCCAGATTTTGCTTCACAAAGCGGCAAAAGATTCCACAGATGACCCCTCAGGGTTTGCTCAGGTGCCATTTTTTGGCATGGTGACTAGACAAAATCTTCCAATGACTTGGTAAAAGCAGAAGGTCCATGGCTCAGTGACCGAGCATATTCTTGGCAAGATCAAAGTGGCATCTTTGAAGCATTTTCTAGCACCTCAGCCACTAGAAACCAGTATGCTTTCTTTCAAGAAGGGGAACAGACTCTACACCAGTGGTTCTCAACCTGTGGGTCGGGACCCCATTTGGGGTCGAACGACCATTTCACGGGGGTCACCAAACAAGGCTGTCTGCCATTTTCCCCCCCTTTTCTTTGGCCACGCCCCTGGCACCCGGTGATGTATAAGTGGTTGGGGGTCACCACAACATGGGGAACTGTATTATGGGGTCACGGCATTAGAAAGGTTGAGAACCACTGCTCTACACCATAGTAAAGATATGTCACTGTAGCATACCTCAAAGAAAAAGAAAACAAATTACCAGGACCCAGAGAAGGAAACCCCAAAGGTGCTTTTCAAAAGGCAGCTGGACTTCCTTAATTTTTTTCCTTGAAAACATTTTGTTTCTATCCAAGAAGCTTCTTCAGAACTGAAGACGCTTCTTGGATGACAAGTGAAACATTTTCAAAAAAAAAAACAACCCAAGAAATTCCAGTTGCTTTTTGAACAGCACCTTTAGGACAAGCATGATCTGGATGAACGAAGAATCTCCATAACCAGAAAAATAAATTTATTTATGAATGGTCCCATACATTTTACTGATTTTTCTCAACCCGTCAATTTTTTCCCTTTTACTCTACTCTTTTTTTTTAATACAAATTTTATTAAGTTTTCCAATTTTTACAACAAGGTGCTTAGGAAACAGCGTGGTGATGGGATAATCAATTATCCAAAAACCAAGACATTTGTATATAGCTCAGGTTAACTCGTTAAAAATTCCCTCTCTAGTTTCCTCAAATAATATACCATTTTTACTCTACTCTTAATGGATATTATTTGACTGTTTTGTTCTGCTACAGTTCAATTAGCAGGCTTCCTTTCCCATGACCATGGACATAACTGGACCAGCTGGACTACCAATCAATAACCTCCTCTTCTCTTGTAAGCAAGTGATGCCCCAGGATATCCTTTACTTGATACTGGGAACTCTCTTATTATCACAGATGGATTCTGTATGATGATCACGGGGAGGAATCCTGATGACAAATGTTACTTACCAGCTGTTCTGAACTGAGTCGAAGACTCTTTTTATAACCTATTCCAGTCAACAGTGGAAGGTGAGTGGTTTCACTTTTAGTTCGATGGTCTTCATCACTTGAGGAAGAATCATCTTTGATTCTGAAACATCAGACACAGAATGCCCCCATTTTTTTTCTGTATCATCTCAGTGGGGAAGACATGTTTGTAAATATGTATTCCTCAGCCATTTTTGATTATTTTATTTATGGCAAGTGAACTCTCTTTGGGAAGCTAAGCCAAGAAAGAGTGACTGGCTCAGGATCACCCAGTGGATTTCTTTCTTTCCTGATATGGACAGCAGTCTCAGCAATCCTAATCTGTTACTCCCCTCAATTTAAACCATACAGGCTGTAATCATACTGATATAATCCACAACCATTTATCTCTGCCTCTGATTATTCATAATTCAGTATTTGTTGAAGCTCCCAGAACTGCCATCTTAATATAAAAGTAATAAAATAATACCTTAAGGTAGCAGCAGAGACAAACAGAGCCATTTGTCACGACTATGCTATCAGAACTAAAAAAAAAAAAAGGATTTTCGTCTTGCAAAACCCCAAAATAAATTTTTCAGTGAAATAAATTTGAAACAATTTAGAAAGCGACACCATAACATAATGTCCAACAGATTTGGATTCAAATCTTATTCATTTATGAAACTCAGAAGATGTTTTCTTACTATTTTGAATAGATAAATGAGATAATGTTTAAAAATTAAAAAATAATAGGATAGAAATGTCCAATACCTGTCTGCAATACTCTTCTCTTCTTCTCCACTGAGACTTTGCACTGGCTTTGCTTCCTGTGGGTAAAATGTAAGTAAGAAAACAGAGCTACAGCAAAAATTAATACAATTGTGGCACTATTGCAAAATCCATTCTTATGGGCCTCCATAGTTCTGTTTTATCCAGCTATGAGGGAAACATTTATTCGGGTGATTCACATAAGCAGCTTTATTATGATTAACAATTTCTTCATGGACCTACTTCTAAAGTTTAATGGAGAATATTAATGACAAGTAAAAAGTAAAGGTAAGACTGAATGTAACTCGACTTATTGATGACTTCATGGATACATCCATGGGGTCTCCTTGGCAGCAATACAGAAGTGAATTGCAATTGCATTATTCTGGGTAATCATTGTATACCATTAGCTGAACGGAACAGCTACGTCTACTGTCTTTCTACTAGAGAATAATAAAAGGGCCTGGCCATGCTAATCATATGCCTTTCTTCAAGATCTCCCATAACCATTTCGGCAATCCCTGCAGGAGCTAAAATGCTTAATCAGATGGCTCATGACCCAAACCAGCAAATGAGTTTTTCAATTATTGACAGTGACCTTGATTACTATTCAGGAAAATAATATGGCTAGGTTTGAGATGCTGAAGAAAGAATGTGAAATATCGTACCAAGAATTACAATAATCAGCTTCTCGGAAACCTTTCTTGTGGCAGCTTATATAGCTTAAGAATCTGCAAATACAGATAGTCCTCCACTGAGCCCAAAATTTGTGTGGCTAAGTGAAATTTGTTAAGTAAATTTTGCCCCGTTTTACCACCTTTCTTACCGCAGTTGTTAAGTGAATCACTACAGTTGTTAAGTTAATAACATGATTGTTAAGTGAATCTGGCTTCCCCATTATTGGCTTTCTCAGAATTTCACAAAGGGTGATCATATGACACTGCAACAGTCATAAACATGAGTCGGTTGCTAAGCATCTGAATTTTGATCACGTGATCAAGGGGATGGTGCAATGGTCGTAAATGTGAAAAATGATAAGAAGGCACTTTTTTCAATCCTGCTGTAACTTTGAACAGTCACTAAACAAACTGTTTGTTAAGTAAAGGACTACCTGTAATCTTTACATTCTGTTATCATCTAAATAGGATCCCAAACAAACAAGCAAAGCAATGCCAGTGTTTAGCATTCAACAGTTCATTTTGTTAAATTTGGATTCTTTAAGGAGAGTCAATAATTCACAGATTTCATGCAGGTGTGTGTGTGTGTGTGTGTGTGTGTGTGTGTGTGTGTAGAAGCCTAGAAGAAAAATTCAGGGTAGTTCCAGATTTACCTCTTTGATAGAGTTATTCCTCCCTCTCCATGAAAACCACCATCTTCCACCTTTTTTGGGCATCTTATCCCTCATTATAGAATCCACAGTGGCCTGTGATAAATGGATGGTAACATAAATAATGGAACTAAACAAAAAGTAATTGAATTCATGCAAACTAAAGGTTTTCTTAAAGAACAACACAAAAAAAAAAGAACACAGAGACAATTTAAACTGAGGCAAAGCAAGTCAAAAGAAACATACTATCCGTGGGCTACAAATCTTGTTAAAGCAAAACCTAATGGTATCCACAAGTGCACGGAAAGAACTTAAACAAGAACACTTCAAAAATTCAAAAAAGAATAATTGGGAAAGAAAAATGGGAACAAAAAGGGATAATAAGTTTAGTGTAATGCACAAAAGGTGGGGAGAAAGAAATACTAATTTTGTTTAGTATAAATTATAAAGACATTTTATTGGCAAGGAATTCAGCACGGTTGCCTTTCATAAAAATAATAAATAGCTGGATGTTTTATTATCTTCTAATAATTATTAGAATAGGCTTAAACGATAATGGCTGAACGAAACTTTAGCATTAACATGGCAATCCAATAGCTGCAAACTGCTGAAGAGAAAGATACTGTCTTACAACTGCATGCATATAAATATAGGTGATTTCTTATTCTAACCAAAACAAATATTTTCTCCTTAGGCCAAGATAAAATTAACATCCAGTCCAATAAAATACAATTCAATATTCAGTAGAGAAGGATCAATCCTAAAATGCATTAAAATACCTTGAATAATTCACCAGATTCTAGTTGCCTAATGAAAGTTACAATCTCCCCTTGTGAACGAGCCATTAAAAAAAGGCAACAATTGTTTTCCTATCTCTCCTTTACCACAAAGACCACAGCTTTACATCAGTTCAGATGCACAGTCCACATGAAGGCTGCAGCAGTGGGGGAACCAGAAGCTGGACTGCAAAACCTATCATCTCTGAGGACTGGCTACAGTCAATGGGGCTTGAAGAGCAGCAACTGGGTCTCACTCTCCGGCTTTTAGCAGTAAAATAGAGATTTTATGTGATCAATGGGGCAGGAAATGCTTTCCTCAGGTTACAAAAGCAACTGGGACCAGAATTACTGACACTTAAGTGATGCGGGCATAAAGCACGATGTCAAGGGACCGCAACTCTTAGCGGCAACAATCCCGGTAGTCCCAGATGCCACAGTAACCCCAAGAAATGTGGGTGATTAAGCAGAGGGGGACATCTCCATGTGCAGGGAGGCTGGAAGGAAGAGGGTGTGGTGTCACTCAAGCACAGGAGGCTGGGCAAAGCAGGACAGGCAGTCGTTGACTTACAACAGTTCATTTAGTGACCGTTCAGAGTTACACGGCACTGAAAAATGTGACTTATGGCCATTTTTGTAGCAGCCCCACAATCATGGGATCAAAGTTCAGATGCTTGGCAACCGGTTCATACTTATGGCCGTTGCTGTGTCCCAAGGTCATGTGACAAGCAAAGTCAATGAGGAAGCCAGATTCACTTCACAGCCGGGTTATTAGCTTATCAACTGCAGTGATTCACTTAACAACCGTGGGAAGAAAGGTCGTAAAATGGGACAAAACTCACTTAACAAACTTCTCGCTTAACAACAGAAATGTTGGGCTCAGTTGTGGTCGTAAGTCAAGGACTACTTGTATGCCGCATGAGTGAAGGGAGGCCTGGGGAAGCAGGCAAACAAAGGGAGGGGGGCGAGGCAGGGCACCACGCCAGGCAAGCCTAGGAAGGCAGGGGAAGACTCAGCAGAGCGATTTGTTAAGCCTTCCCTGTTGGTTTCCCTGTTGGCTTTGCTTGTAGGAAGCTGGCAGGGAAGGTTGCAAATGAGGATCATCTGACCACCAGGCACTGCAACGGTCCACAGTAGGAGCCAACTGCCAAGTGCCCAAGACGCAGTCACATGACAAGGGGATTGTGTGATGGCTGGAACTTCTACGAACAGTTGTAAGTTTCCCTAGTTCAGCACCATCGCAATTTCAAATGATTGCTGAACAAGTGGGTCAGTAAGAAAGGACTACCTGTATGGCATATTGGTTTGGAAGAGGACTAAGCGTGAATTTCTAGTGAATTTGAATTCAGTAATGGAAATAGCATGAAACTACTGTAGCTGGTGTGAGCTGTCAAGGATCTTTGCTCTTTTCATGCCATTTGACCTTGTAAGGAAAAAGTGAAAGCAGATAGCAAATCCTGGCTTGAATTTATCTGCTGCAACTTTACTGACTGGACAGATAAATCAATCAATCAATCAATCCTCAGCTAGACAAAAGGATGCTACTGAGTCCATTATTTCATCAAACATTAAACAAATTAAGGGCTATCTTGGGATAGATTTTTATGTCACTATCAGTCTACAGGAAAGACCTCAATAGACTTCTAACTGGACATAAGTGTGTCTAATGAAATCAATTCGTTCAGAAGTGGGTAAGAGACTTTATATGCAAGAGCTAGGCCTAATGGAGTGTGTAGATGACCTTGGGGGATGAAAGAAAGAGATACTGTCTAGGAAACAATCAGACAAGAGGAGGAGGAGGAGCCCCCAAGAGTTAAATGATCAGAGAAAGAAACTTAGGAAGAATCTGTCCTAACTGATCAGATGGGTCAGAGTGATAGTGGGAAGTCTGGGCCTTCAGACTTACAAGTTTCCATTAATATAACCTTATAATGAAGTAGATTTGGGCCATCTACTTCTGTTTCCTGTCAGGTTAACCCAGAAAGGCTGACAATAAACTCTGAGTTTCTTCCCATGATAGCATACATCCAGACATGGGGATAACATACAACAAAAGATTATGCAGCTCCAAGCTTCATTAGATAGATAGATAGATAGATAGATAGATAGATAGATAGATAGATAGATAGATAGATAGATAGATAGATAGATAGATAGATAGATGATAGATCAGTGGTTCTCAACCTTTTTAATGCCACGACCCCCAACCGGTCGTAAGTCGAGGACTACTCAACCGGTTGTAAATCGAGGACTACTCAACTGGTGCAGCACCGTTTGCAGAATGGGACTTTTGGTGGGCTCAGCAGGGCAGAGACAGCCTGGACAATTCCTATTGGCTTTTGAAAGCCAATAGAATTAGACTCTATTCAAGAGAGTCTATTCTATTGTCTTTCAAAAGCCAATAGAATAAAAGGGAGTAGCACAGCTAAGGAAAAGGGGAAAAAAATGGCGGACTGCATTGTTTGGCGACCCCCGTGAAATGGTCGTTCGACCCCAAATAGGGTCCCGACCCACAGGTTGAGAACCACTGTGATAGATAGATAGATAGATAGATAGATAGATAGATAGATAGATAGATAGATAGATAGATATCAATAGAGCGCTATCAATCTAGGTTGTCTTTCTCTTTTCAAAGAGACAATTCTGAAGGCAAATTATCTAATCCATCACAAACAATGGCTTTGAAAACAAAATTGCAAAATCTAGAAAATCTATGAAGTGCCAATTCATGGCCAAAATTAATATAATTATTGAGCGACTTAAATATTTCTTATCTATTTTTAACTAGGTAAACTAGAAGAAATGTCACACAAACATAATTTTACTTTCCAATATGACTGAACTAAGGAGGAAATGGCTAAATGTTATCTTGGAAACACTGTTATTTTTTTAAAAAAACAGTCTGAATCTCTAACTCTGTAGTCCTTCTAAACCAAGAATAAAAAGACTGCTAGAAAAAAAAAGCAAAAAGGTTACCTTGCCCCACAATGAATTACAATTGTGTATTAGTCAGGGATAGAAGAAGCCAGAAGTCCCCGGGATGTGGTGTGGTGGGAGGGGTAACACTACAACCTACAGAGTCTGGCTAGCCCAGGGGTCTTCAAACTTGGCAATTTTAAGACTTGTGGACTTCAACTCCCAGAATTCCTCAGCTAGCCCTGAGGAAGTCCACAAGTCTTAAAGTTGCCAAGTTTGAGACCCCTGGGCTAGACAGAAAGAGCAAGGATCTTTACCCACAAGGCTGGCATGGTCAATCTCACCTTTGGCAAAGGTTTCTGGAATGCCTGCATTGCCAGCAGGAGCGGAGCTGCAGTTGTCCAGTTGTAGTACCTAAGAGAGCAAAACAATCCTTGAAACACACCAATTATTTAATAATTATTATTTAAACATGCAAATTAGAGCCGGTTTGGTCTAGTGGTTAAGGTGCTGGCCTAGAAACCAGAAAACTGTTGAGTTCCAATCCTGCCTTAGGCATGAATATGTTTGCCACCTTGAGATGTTTATAATAATAATAAAAGATGTAAATAAATACATACATAAATTATCACAGAACTTAAAGCAACTATTTCTATTAAAAAGGTTGGCACCAGAGGCATTTAATTAAAACATTTCAGGCATTACATTAATTTTAATTTCAATACGCTGCATATAAATGTTCCTATATAGGGATATCAAATTAGGTTTCACTTAGTATTTTTTTTCCAAACTTTCAATTAATTTCATCCATTTTTAATGTGTATTTTCCCCAGAACAAGCACTTCTGCAGCTTATTTTTCTAATATAAAACTCGCAAGAATATTTTTCTAACATGGATGTGCATTTTGGTGCAGGTAGGTGAATTAAGATTAAAATGCAAAGGAAACCAATTCCAGGTCAAGTTTTATTTCACTGAAGGAAATTCATTCACTATGTATGCTATTATGGAAACAGCATCCCAGAACTGGAAGAGACCAGATCAACACTTCTTTGTACAATGCAGGCTACACTACATCATCTCTGATAGATGACAATCTAGCTTATAAGTGAAAACCACTAAGCAAATGGGAATTGACCATTTCTTGCAGCTTCTTATTTCCATAGTTCATACAACTAGGAAGTTCTATCTGATATCTAGTCTGATCTTCCTTCTTGTATATTTTTAATTAATTGGCTTTGACCTTGTCCTTTAATGCTATAGAACCCAACTCTATTCCCTCTTCTGTGTAAGAGCTTTTCAAATTTTGAAGAGTACTATCCTATCTTCCCTTAGACATCTTTTCGGCAGGTTAAACATATTGCTCAAGTGGCTTGGTTTCTGAACTATTTACTAATCTTGGTGGCTTCTCTCTTAACTCATTCCAGTTTGCCACTGAACAAAACTGAACACAGTACTCTATAGGGAGTCCAACCAAGGCAATTACTTCCGATGATCTGGACTCTATAACTCTGTGAATCAATCCTATGTAGCATTTGCCTTTTTAGCAGCTGCATCACACTGCTGGCTTGAAGTTGACCAGATCCCTTTCACATGAATTACCGCAAGTCCTACAGATAGTCCTCACTTAACAATCCAAATTGGGACTGGAATTTTTCATCATTAAGTGAAGCAGTCATTACATAAAACCTCACAATTGCACCACTTAATGATAGCAGTTCTAATACTCCTGGTTGCGGTCATTAGGCCAGAACCGTGCTGTTGTTCGGTGAAAATCTCATGCTTCTTGTGCCACGGCATACTTGTCTCTGCTTCAACTCCCTGCAACCCATCTCTTCCCTTTTAGCAATAACTCAACCTTGAACCTCACCAGCTCAAGGTTGACCCAGCCTTCCATCGTTCCGAGATCGATAAAATGAGGACCCAGATTGTTGGGGGCAATAGGCTGGCTCTGGAAACTGCTTAGAGAGGTCTGTAAAGCACTGTGGATCTAAATCTAAATGCTATTGCTAAGAAGATGGCAAAGGTCAGCAGGGACAGCAGAGGTGGCGGAGCGCAGGACATCTAAAAGGGCAGAGATGAGGAGGGATAGGTGGTGGGGAGAATTGAAGCATGTTTTGCAGACATAAATATGGGCAGAGTGCCAAGTGCCCAAATTTGGATCACATGGCCAAGGGGGTGCTGAAATAGTTGTAACTTCAAACACTGACCATAACTATAACTCTTTCAGTAATAGTTGAATTTTGGTCACTAAACAAATGGTCATTAAGCTTTAGACTATGCCCAGCATTTTTTTACCCAGGTGCAGAACCTTTAACTTCTCACTTTAAGTTCCATCTTGTTAATTTCAACCGATTGCTTTAGCCGCTCTAGATAATAATAATAATAATAATAATAATAACAACAATAATGATGATAATAATAATAATAAAGTTGGAAGGGACCTTGGAGGTCATCTAGTCCAACCCCCTGCTCAGGCAGGAAACCCTATACCATTTTGGACAAATGGCTGTTCAGTCTTTTCGGATCTTTTTGAATCTGTTCACTCTGAAGGATTCTGGTTTGTTGTTGTTGTTTTTAACAAAATGCACACATTTTATTGTGCTAAGCTGTACTCACTTGTTTCCAATCTTCACCACAAGGTTAGGGTGGTCGATAATAGCTGGGTTGTCCACAAACTGCTGATAAGAGACTTCTTGTTCTAAAAACTTTTCTGTTTGGAAGGGAAAAAAACCATGAATGAACCTCTAGTTAAAATAGCACTTGGGATATATTGTAGAATTAGCCTCTTTAGGAAACCACAGGACTATAAAAGCAGTTCCAGAGCCTGTGATCTCAGGTAGCCAGCACAGCATAGTTTTAGGAGAAAAGGAATATAAAGCCTGTTATTTGAAGACTCCCATCAAAACTGAAGCAGAGAATGCTGCTTGAAGTAGACTCTAACCACCTTGGTTCTATTTGTAGGAATTCCAGCAGATAAATTCACATATTCAGCTTTAAGAATAGTCTGTCCTGATTATTCTTGAGAAAACCTCAAACTGAACGTGGGCCACGTTAGACTGAATCACAGATCTGAATAAATTTGTGTTCAGACAACTGTAATGCTGAAATATGAATCTTCTTTGAAAAAAAAGACACCCGTATACAGGCTATAACCAGTCATGTAGCTTTGGCAATAAGACTCCTGCAATATATAATTTACCTGACACCAACTCCTGGATGGTGGTTGCAACCAAACCTGCCTTCCGCCTATGTTGTGCGTTTATAGGTTAATAAAAAAATAAAGTCACCTTGCATAGACTAATCTGAATAAACATGAATGGTGCCCTTTAAAGCAGCACTGAAAACAATATTTACAGCATGACTTAAGGTTAGGCAAGAACCGAGATAAACATCTTAGAGTAGCATGTTATTGCTAATTGATTAGTCATATACAAATGAATCAAGCTCAGCTACCTCAACCTGTAATAAGCAACAGCTCTTCTACCCACGGTTCTGCAATCTCCTTGAACCTATTTTATCAACTTCCCATCTTTTATTTTATTTGGCTGTGCCAGTTTTTCTGCTTATATCACAAGCTCAAACTCTGTGAATTTCTCCTTGCTGATCAGCACTCCGGGAGAGCTGTATTTATTTTATCTAAATTTGATTAATTGGTTCTCCTTGGGTTTATTTTTCTCTTAGTAATGATTTCCAAATCCATAATTTGCTGTTTCTCAATAGCCAGGTTTCACAACTGATCCTACCATAAGATCATTGCTTTAGCTGCTCTGACTGTTGCTGTCATTGAAATGTCTTATATTTCATCATCTTCCCCACATCTGTCTTTCCATTACTATTTTATTCTGCTCCTCCAAACTCAGCTCTTCTCATATACTATAGATTCCTCAGAAAAATAAAACAGATTTCCAGGAAGATTTACTAATCTGCTGTAAGTCAGTTTTTGCTGTTGATAAACCAAAAGGTAAACTTCCTTCTTGGGCTCGCTTGCTCCTTCCCTCTTATTTTGCTTATTTCTCTTTTACAAAATCTATGTACTCATCAGACAAACATCTTTCCACACTTGGCTTTCTTCTTCCTTGTAAGATCTTAAGTAAAAAACTTCATTTGAGAAATCCCTGCAATTGTTTGGTCATTTACACGTGCGCTTATGTCCCCTTTCTCTGATTTAGTTATTATACTGGTATTTTCCAGTATCTGAGCCAAATGAATATTGTTTCATATTTACATGTGCTTTAGCACTTAAAATGCATCTTCGTCTGCAACTGTGAATCGTTCACTGGCAATTTCATCTGCACTTACCTTCCTACTACCTGCCATAGATCACTTTTTCATGGAGTAACTTCCTGAGTGTATTCTTTTTTTAAAAAAAAAACATTTGTCACTCTGAAATCTTAGCTATAAAAGGAATATTAGTATAGTCCTTTACTTCTATTAGATTTCTTCTGTGTTTACTCCAGTATTAGCCATACATTTCCTGCTTTTCCCCGAACTTCTTAAAAACTTATCTCATTTTCTTTTTCTTGATATTTTTTTTAGTTGTTGACCAGGGATTGAATGTTTCCCTTGTTTTTTGCTGCTTGATGCCAGAAAAGTGCATTTAGTTGTCCTGTATCCTTCCAAGACTTTCATCCTTCATCTTTTTCTGGTTATTTAAACTTGCTTGCTCTAAAAGCCATTTAAAACTTTTTTTTTCTTTTAAATTTTAGGAATATTTTTTGCAATTTGGTTTTCACTATGTGTCTCAACTCCTCTGTATAGTTCTTCTAGTTCTCTTTCACATATTTAAGTTGATTTTACATTCTAATTAACTGGACCAAATCTTGTTCTCTCCAATGGTCTAAATTTAATTTATGCAAACATGGCACCAAGTTTATGGTCTGTTTCACAATCTGAACACTGAAATTTCTGGCTTACTGCACTGCACTTCTCTTCTTTGTTTCCTATTATCTAGTTAGCATGATTCTGTTGTTTTGTATCTGATGATGTCCATGTGTAGAGGCTATTTTTATCCTCGAAGCAGATGCAGGAAACAGAGATTCTCTTCACAAAGTTTTGTAAAACTATCTTATCTTTCTATAATTTTAAATTCCCTCATTTCTTCACATTTTGCACTTCAAAACCTATTGGTAAAACTAATATAAGAATGTTATTATATTACCCCCTCTTATAATTTGTCAAATACTCACGTTGTCCACCACTTAGTAGGTGTAACACTTGTAAAACATTAGTGCTCACTGGGTTATTAAGCTAATAGAGATAGCCTTACAACAATACAGACACAGTTTCTCATTGCTTTTCTTCCAGTTTGATTTTCAAGCTCTTATTCCTCACTGTGCTAATTGAATTTTTATTCAATTTACATTGCCATCCATCTCAAACATGACTCAGGGTGGTTAACAAGGGATAAAAACAAGTAAAAACATCATAACCAACACAACAAATAACAAATATGTTGTATATAGTATGTTTAGGTGTGTGTCATGTATGTGTTTCATTTTGAGAGCGGACACCTAAATTTCATTTCTGATGTGTGCTGTTGTTGTGCCCGCAGTAAAAAAATGACAATAAAGGTTATCTTATCTTATCTTTATCTTAATAAATAACATATATAGCAGATGAAATAAACTAGCCAGAATAATCAGCATAACCTTGCTATGGGCTCAACCATACATCCCTGGCTCAGTAACAGAACCCGATCTTTAGGGCCTTATGGAAAGCTAGTAGGGTCAGGGCAACTTTAATCTCTGGGAGAATGACATTCCTGAGGGTGGGCATCGTGACAGAAATGGCTCTGGATTGTGTTAGTTGACTCCCACACCGAGAATTACTGTTACCTTCATTACCACCATCACCACCACCCTTTTGACTTATCTGGCAAGGGAACGATACTAAAGCATCCTACTCTCACTCTCAGCATCACTGAAGCTACTAAGGCCCTTGGCCAGACTCAGATGGTAACTCTAATCGGTACATCTTCACAGTACAATTTAAAATTTGGAAAGGCAAGACCACATCTCTCTTTGGAGTCCTGCAGAACTTTTTGCTTAACTGTGGGTTTCCCCCCACACACACACACCACCCCCTTCCATATGAATTTATTAACAGTGTCTCGCCATCCTTGTAAAGTTTTCTCAGAAATTCTGAGCAGCGCTATTTGAAATAGATAATTTATCTTGGGTAATGCATCCATTTTAATAAACAATTGACTGGAAGCAAGATGGGGCCTACCTGCTTCCTGCTTTCCTGTCCCCAGGATGCTAGGAGCAGTGTCTCTTGCATAACCTTAGAGAAAGACTGGGCTGGGACTCCCCAGACATTTGGTCCTTTGTGAAGGGGAGGGGTGGCTGCTTCACGCTGGCCCTTCCCCAGAGTTTACAGGCATAGATGGGGAAGATAGGAGGTGGAAGGAATTGCAGCACCCCTGCAATTGATCATAAGGGCAGGTGGAGTGCCAAGCACCCAAGTTTCCATTATCCGATTCATTATTTTCATTCTTCTAATTTCAAGGGTGCTACAACACCCGTAACTTCAGGAACGGGTCATAAGCCCTTTCATTCAGCATTGTCGTAATTTTTAGCAGCTGCTGAACAAGTGGCCGTAAGCCGAGGAATACTAGTAATGAAGAATACCACATTATACCCAAATTCTTTAAAGGATGGACATTTGTACATCCTTCTGTCACATATGCCTTAGTGCACAATATCTACAAGAGGCCACTATACACTTTTTCCACAGAGGGGTTGGAGCATTCAAACCAGACATTACTGTATTTTACAATACCGCAGGAGTAGCGGAGGTGTTGAGCGTACCTTTGGATATTTCTTTATTGTCGTTAAGTCCGCCGCAAAGTGAAATGGCAATGGAGGGCAGGTCTCGGATTCCATCCGAAGTGCTCTCCACACCACTGTCCACCCCTGAGCTTCCGACCGATTGAGGAGATTGATTGGCTGAGCGGGGAATATTATCACTGGCGTTCTTTGAGAGAGCAAGATGATCGCCACTGAGAAGAGAAGGAGAGTTAGTGCCCTCCACTCTTTCCTAAAACTCATGGATTTCATCATCTGATTCATCTAGCCTACTTCTCAGCCTTGATAGGTTAAGCCAGGGGTAGGCAATTTTGGCTCTTTTATGACTCGTGGACTTCAGCTCCCAAAATTCCTGAGGGGAAAGGGAGTTTCCAAGCTGAGCCATGCTGGCTCAGGAATTCTGGGAGTTGAAGTCCACAAGTCATAAAAGAGCCAAGGTTGCCTACCCCTGGGTTAAGCAATCGCTACAGGGAATCTCTCTTGTCGAGCGATTAAAGCCTTCAAAAGGCTTATTAAAGCCTTCAAACAAAGGAGCTTCTAGGTAATATATTTGGACAGGTACAGGGAAAAAAATTTACTCCCAATGCATGCTTCTAATCTTACTCTGGTACCTTAGATATTTTTTTTTTAAAAAAAAAAACAGCCAATGTACAGTCCAAAGATTCCCAATGCGTCTTTTGGATGGGCACTAATTTTTATAAAAATAGCAAAACAGCCCTGGGAGTTTGATGTTTGATGTTTGTTCAAAAAAGATGCCCTTCTAGCACCAGACCTAAAGAGGTATGATAATGCTCCAGCAATTTTTTTTTTTTTGCATGATCCTTTCATTTTACTTCTTCTACTTGTCACTTTTAAAAAAAACTAATTTGTCTTAAAAAGCATTAACAGAGAAAAAAAGAAGTTTTGGCTTTGTGCTTTTAGACAAACTTCAACCAAGTACAGATTTCCTTCAAAAGCACAAGGGACATAATTTTGTATGTGGGGACACAAGATCCTGAGAAAGCTATTTCCATAAATGGTAAATGTCAGTTTATAGCATGCATACTTTTTAGGAAAATAGAGTGCAGCAACCTCTGGCTCCATGTCAGTCAGATCATCTAAATATACACCATCAGCACCAAGATGTCGGCTCCGCTTATCTGTAAAATGCAAAATTTTATTATCATACAGTACTTTTTAAGCAAGTACACTTGTCTCCTTTGAGGAAACAAAAATGTGCGAGAACTTATTTGATCCATTTAACAAAGCTTTTACCAGGAGCTTATGATACAAAAGAAACAAATAATAATCCATTAAAAAGAGTAGGAGAATAAAATTCGTGGCACAGAATAACAGTGGAATAACAGACTCAGAATAAGTTTTTGTGGGTGCCGAAATGGACAGGCAAATGAGATTAAGTACGTGAAGTCGTATCTCAAGCAGGGAATTTTGTGGTTGCTTTCTTATTTAGGCTTTCCTCCATTATAGCAAAGCTACAGTTCATAGTACAGTTTACAGGCAGTCCTCGACTTACAACAGTTCATTTAATGACCGTTCAAAATTACAGTGGCACTGAAAAAAGTGGCTGATGACTATTTTTCACACTTACGACCGTTGCAGTATCCCCATAGTCACGTGATCAAAATTCAGATGCTTGGCAACAGACTCATATTCAGGACAGCTGCAGTGTCCCAGGGGACTTGTGATCCCCATTTGCGACTTTCTGACAAACAAAGTCCATAGGGAAGCCAGATTCACTTAACAGCTGGGTTACTAGCTTAACATCTGCAATGATCCACCTAACAAATATGGCACGAAAGGTTGTAAAAATGGGGCAAAATTCACTTAACAAATATTCCAGTTAGCAACAAAAAAAAAATTGGGGCTCAATTGTGGTCGTAAGTCGAGGACTGCCTGCACTGTGTTTTCCATTTTAAGGGTTTAGAAAACTGCACTGTTCATTGAGCTGTTATCTTTGTTCTTGCTCCCCCAGTTTTAAGGAATTTGCTGCACCTATTTAAGGAAGGGAAAGCAGAAAAAGCCTCTTTGCATGCAAGGTGACTATATTCCACTCCTGTTGACCTAAGAGGCAAATCGCTTTTTCCTCTTTCCTTTCATTATCTCATTTCTTGGAAAGGCCAGTTAATTTCACTGATAACAAGCTGTTGACAATAATACTTGGTTGCAAAAGTTTGCCGTACCCTTTTTTTTCGAGGGAGAATCTGTTTTGCTGGCTGGCTGCATCAAGCCGGTGGTGGCTGGCTTTAATTCTTCACCGGCCGGAGGTGAAGGGGCTGCTGCCCCTAAAGTCTCTATATCCATTTGGGATGTTTCGGGTGCCAGGAGCTCTGCTTCTTCCACAACCAGCACAGTCTCATCCTGTTCAGGGTCAGGTAGGGAAGAGAGGTGCTGAACCTCTTCCGTATCGGTACTCTGGATGACTCGGAAGTGAGTGCTTTCAGAAAGATTCACAGTCACTGAGGTGCTGGATTCTTTTGGCTTGTGTGGGGTAGCAGTCTAGAAAGGAAAAAGAAAAGCGCCTAATTCAAAAAAGGTTCCTGAAAAAAGAACACAGAGTGACACAACGCGTGAGAAATAAAAGCAACTTCGTTGCACTCATATCACAGGGCAAAATCCCTGTTAATGGTTAGGATTATTTCATAAATACATTGAAACAATCTGGATTTGCCCGCAAGTATATACTCTCCAAAGTCAAAGATGATACGTTTTGAGACCTTTGTTGGCTACTATTCTGGGGTATAGTCTCGTGATAACCTGATCTTGCCAGAACTACACAACCTTAGTCTGGGCAGCGGCAGGATGGAAGGCCACTAGGGGATAATCTTTGCGCTGAAATCTATGAAGGAACAATACTGAGAAATCCCAGTTCTTAATGAGAAGATGACAAAACTTTTGTCAGGATCCGAAACAAAACATGACTTCAGCTCCTTCTTCTGGACCATGTATGAAATAATTAAAAAGTAGAGTAAGGGATTAGATTTCTATATTACAGAGAAGCAATCCTCTACTTGTAATTCAGTCTACATTTTTAACACTAGAAGAGTAGGAACAATTCTTCCCACTCTGTTGCAGAAATCAAGTTTTACAGTTGTTACGGGGAGGTCATTTAGTCATCATCAGGCATCTGGGGTCAAAGGAACACTCCTAAATATGTGTAAAATTGTTTTAAGCGAATTCGGTATCTCAAATTCTGCTCAATATTGAGATATTGGAAATCAGTCAAAAACCCACTCATAAGTTAAAAGGCAACAGTTTTGCTTCCTTCCACATATTCAATTATTGCGTTTTCCAGAAAGTGACAGAGGAAAAATGACAATGTCAATACAGTGCCATGCCTTAGTTTTGCATGCATACATTTGATTCCCACCTGTCTCCTCTCCCCATGTACTACTGCTAAGAAAACATAAGGAAGCATCACCATCAGCTTTCGAGCTACACTTCCATCATTTTTGTATCAACCAGAAATTGTTCTTAGTTTTAACTCTAGCTTAACTGAAGAAGCAAGTATTTAAACCATATTCAATACTTGGTTGTTAGGACAAACCACAGTTAAAGCTAATTCAAATGTGTCTAAAAGAGAAATAGATTCTTGCCCTCTCTACAAAGCCATGGCAAAACACCAGTTGAAGACTGGGCTAAGAGTTCAATATTCCTAATACTACTAATGATAAGCTAATAACTATATCTTCCCTGTGTATCTGTTAACCACTTCAGAGTTCTATATCCCATTCAGACAGAAGAAAAACCTCAAGTATTCTATTAAAAAATCTGGAAATGTCTCATTCTTGTTTCTTTTCACATACCTTTGTGGCTTGAGGTAGTTCTCCCCAGTCCCAATGCATCTGAGGATTGTTGTTCTTAACACTTCTTTCCAGAGGCTTACTGACTAATTCAGAATCACTTTTAGGAGTGAGCGATCGTGAATCTAAAGGGCTGCAGGAAGAACAAGGAAAAATGGGAAGAGCATGAGATAAGGCAGGATGTTTAGTTTTCTATTCTGAATGCCAATGTAAGGACTTAAGCCTACTAATTCAATTTGGATATTAAGTCTTGATCAAGAAGCAACCTAAACTGCTGGCCAGATGAGGAGATTAATATGGTGTTAAAGTGAGATACAACATCCTGAAGCTAAACAAAGAGCTAACAGTCCTATTCTTCTGTTTGACAAAGAAAAGAGATTTCCAAATACTTCCTTTAGGATTTCAGTCATACCTATGACCACACCATAGCCCTTGAAACATGTACAAGTGCACAAATAGCAAACTCACTGTGCTTTTCCCTTTTAACAGATGATTTGCCAAATGGATACAATATATGTTTTCAAATAATCAGTTTTATACAAAGGTAGATTGTATTAGTTTCAACAGGATGCACACTTTAAAGGAAGTTGCCAGAGATCGCAGCAAAATAAAGCTTTAGGGCCAAGCCCCTATCCTCCAGAAAAAAACAAAAAGATTTCTTCTCCTTCTTTCTTGGATAGGACAAGGTCAACAAAAGATAATTCTGACTATACTGTATATGCCCACACAAAGGAAGAGACATATGGGAACTGCAATGTGCACAAACAGAGACAGTGGCTCCTGAAACAGGAAAAGCAGCACAAGGGTATGCATATCGTGACTTTTATCCTCTAAGCTCAGACCTGCACATGACTTTGGATAACTGTGCAAAAGGTTTCCAGCTAAAAAATATCCATTTTAAATTCCAAACAGGTGATTCAAATTTGAAACACGCTGTCAGAATCTTACTGGAACATTCAGAACCCCAAACAGCTCTGTCTCAAGTTTGAAACAGGTTTCTGAGATCAAAATAAACTTGTTTCGAGTTCAGAACGACACTGGTATTGTTAAAACAGCACATTTCAATGCCATACAATCCGTTTGAACTTGAAATGGGGGTATTTTAAGCTCAAACTATTTCAAAATCAAAACATGTTGTCCTCCCTGGTGAAATCCATGCAGAACCCTTCACACAGTGAGGGTATTTTTCCCACTTAGGAATAAAATTGCTGACACAAAGCAGAAGTCTTGAAGTACAAAGAGCAAGTTGAGTAAATAAATTATATGTTTAAAGTATGTATAATTTTGGCACTGCTCAGTTATAGCACCATTAGTCAATTATTGAGGAGGAAGGAAGAAATTGGTGCCTATATTTAATTCTTAAAGTGTGCACGCAAAGATAACATAACCAAAGGGAGGGAAGGAATCATTATTAATGCTAGTAGAAATGTAGTCAAAATTATCCATACATAAGGAACAAGCACTGATAGGCTTTACAAACACTGATCCTCTCTATTTCCAAAAAAAAGTATGATGGTGATTCAATGGCACATAGTATAAATTAAGGCTGGAGAACACTGATAACCAGAGGTATGTAATCATCAAGAAGAAAAACAGAAAAAATAAACAACTTCATTAGCGCAATAGGAAAGTCACTATAAAATGACCCAGGAGGTAGAATGGAAATTGCTCATTGAAATCAATTGCATGAGTAAAATTTAAAAAAAAAAATCTTAATGTTGCTGGGACTAGGCTAAGCAACTATCCACTATCCCAATCCAGAAAAAAAATACAGAACAAAAAATAAAATCTGGAAGGTGTAGACCTCTAAGTGAAAGCACGCTGTAAATATTTATTTACAGGCTCCATTCATTTCTGTTGCAGTAATAATCCCCAGTAAGAAAACTATCCCTTTCTTATAGCCTATCTTAGAACAAATGCTGAGGGGTCCTTGGTGCTCTCTGAGTTTGGTTGTTTTCTTGCAGACGTTACCCAAACTAGATAACATCATCAGTGCTAGCCTTTAAATGCTGCTTTCAAAAAAAATCAACAATTTGAATTGCAAGGGGGGAAAAAATGATTAGAACATGTTTTCACCTTCCCTAGTTGGAGAAGGAGAAAACCAGACTTTTATTATAAGTTGGGTTTTACTTTTACAAACTCCAGATACAATCTGAAAATTACAGAAACTTTCCTAGTTGTGAAATGTACTGATGTTCCAGAATATAGAATTATATCCTTTAAAATAGGCATCTAAATTTTAATACCGTTGTCTAAATATGGATTAAAATATAGTCTTATTCATAACGTAGAAAACATACGGATGAGCAGCTCGTGTACATATGCAGTGAACCTGATGCAACAACAAAAGAGAAAGAAACCTTTTTCAGGGTGCTGATGACCGGCTGCTCTCAAATGTCACTTGCAATAAGAAACTCAACAACTACAGAAATGGGAACTGTATTTTTTTTTTCTCCGTCATACACAGGGGAAAAAAAGCACAAGCAAATGCTCTCTGAAGGAAGGAAGTTATGAATCTATAAAAGCACAAAGGCCAGTGAGTGTAAAGGAAACCCCCCCAAGCCAAAAAACCTCTTTGTAGCGTCAGCCAGTCTACAGATTTCCCACACCCTAAAGGGCATGTAAGCCATTAACAAGGGATGTCTCTTGCTTCAGAACAATTTCAGTTTCTAATTGCTGATTCCCACGTTATACTTTTTTTTTTTTTCATGCAAACCTCTTACTTTTTGCTTCCTTAAAACGTTTTTGGGACAGTAAGCTTCAGGATATGGAAAGCCTGTAGAACTACCAGAAGCTGCAAGATCAAGCTAAACTTTTCTTTGCTGAACATGATGACTATAGTTTGCATTGGAGTGAAGTCCTGCACCATCATGAATCACTTTTAAATTAACTTTCTTTTGAAATGGATTCTTATTCTAGAATTGTATCACGTATTTCATGCATTTCTAAAACCTATTTCATGCACATATAAAACTCCAGGCAGCAAAGATAGGTAATGCTCTTATTTTTTCCACAAAAACAGGCCTGTGAGATGAGCCTGGAGTCGGAGTGACCGGTTCAAAGTCACCCAGATGTTTTGGAGGTCTAGAATAATTCATTACTATATATATTCATAAACTTATAAACCGGATGGATACATTTTTAAGATTTGTAAACTGAAAGAGCCTGTAACTGTAATTTTGAATTAGATTGGTTTTAATGAAAATATAGGGAGTAGATCCTGGCATTTTCCTATCCAAGAGCTATACTTCCTTGTCAATGGACAGTTCTTTTGGCATGAAAATGGTATGTGCAAAATTGGTGCTTTTCACGGAGGGAATGAAAAAGCCCTTGGAATGAGAAAAGTTTCATTTCTGCATCCAAATCCCTCTGTTGGCAAGGATGATTGGAGATATGTCCCATATATATAAAATATAGCATGGTTAACAAAATGCTGTGTCAATTTTATTGTGCAACTGAGGAATTCTTCTGACTTGTTATCAAAAACTACCCTCTTCTTTGCTAGCGCAGAGGCCTGGTCTAGCAAACAGGAGCCTGCAGTTTAAGAATCCAACTTTGGAAAGACAAAAACCAAGAACGTAAGGCAGTAATCAATGAATTCTAAGACAGGCGAGGTGAAAGGAAGAACAGTAAAAAAAGTTCTGAAGAAAGGAAAAGGGATAGAAAACGAGTGCCATGACACCCATGTGCAGGATCTAGAGAAATGAGTGAGTGAATGAATGAATGAATGAATGAATGAATGAATGAATGAATGAATGCCACTCAGTTTGATGGGAGATTTATACTTTTGTACAATTAATACTATGATTTAAAAATCCCAGACAAAAACTTTATGAACGACTTCCCGGTTTCCTGCCATGAGTTAGTAAATAATACCAGTTTGATAAGATCTGCCAATCTTGTATATTGTTAACAATATTAAATGGTTAATCACCCGTCCAAAAATGCAATTGGCTGTTCTACCTGTCTTCAGCAGGACAGTGAGAGGTCAGGTCAGGACAAGAACTAGATAAGCTTCCCTCTGCTGGAACAGTGAGATGAGAGGACCTCCCTGTGCATGTTCTAGGTTTACTGGATAGTATAATATAGCAGGGGAAAAAGAAAAAGATTAGGCCACATTATCCTGCAATATGTTTCAAATCAACCCATGTTGCTGAGGCTGTCATCTGCCCCTTGGAAAACAGCCATATGGGGTTAAACGAAAGGTTTAAACAAGACACAGGAAGGCAGAACACAGTTCAGGAAACCACTAAACCACTCTACACAAATGCTTAACAAGAAGCTGCAAACAGCATAGGCACCATTACACTTTGTGGTAGTATAATCACATCAAATCAAGCAGCACTCAATCCTAAGGAGACATAAAGGCTTTGTGTATGTTTATACCAATGAACAGAACATTATACCTAAAAATGGATACTTAAGACCAACAGTTTTCTGAAATTAAGCCTAACAAGATAGAGATCGAATCATTCCTATTATATACAAAATATACAGAAAATCTCTATTCTAACTATTTTGGAAAGACAACGCTTGAACTAATCATTCTCGACTCCCCACATAAAAACTGTTCCAAACAATTCATCTTCCTGCAGCTTTGAAATGAAAGTAATTTGCTTATACACATTCACATATAACATATACAGTAGCTGAGCCCTCAATGTATCACTGAAGCTGGAACTACTGAACTGGAATTTAAATGGTTGAAACGGAGTTGAAACCAGAGAGGGATACTCGTAGCATTAAGGCCAGAAGCATGAAAAGCCTTGTCTTTTCTTTAACTGCTGAATAGGTCTGAAAAGGGAGATTGCATGAAAAGGGTTCATCACACAGACTGGAGAGTATTTAACTTATCCTGGTAACATGCACTGTACCTCTGTCTGGGTGTCCATTCTCCATCTGAGTGGGGATGAGCAAGTGCATTTATAGAAGAAACTGCCTCGATCTCTTCATCCCTTGACAAATCAAGGACAGATGTTCTGAATATAAACAATACATACAAAAAGAAGGGATTTGTTTTAAATGCCCATATCTAGCATTGAATGCAATATAAAAACACATTTTAAACTCATAGATGTTGTTAAAAATCTAGATACTTTTAGAAATTGTGCAATTTAAAAAAATGGATTCTATTTTCTGGCAAAAAAAAATATATTTTCTAAATTTTCCATAACCACCTGAATTAGGAATTACTGGTAAAACCTATTATGTTACAATATATATCCTATTGTACCATATATAACATCTGAGGTTCTTTCTGGATGGGTCCTTTAAAATGTTCTAGTAATTGTTTATTACAAATTCAGTGGAGCAAACAGATGGTGTTATTATCTAATTTACTTTTTTTTGTTTTTAATCTTGTTTTCATTTAATGAGGACACAGTAATTTATTTTGAAAGAGTACAGGAGTATGCTGCTTCAAAATTACAGATGCACCACAACACCATCAGCTGGGGGAAGGGTAAAAGAAATAGGCAACTTCACTTAGACATTTTGATTATGCGTGCATGCCATTTAAAAAAAATAGAATTTCAAAATATTACAAATTCATCTTTGCCTTTCCCCTTCTTTTCTGGGCAGTATATAATAAATATTCTATCTATCCACATCTATATGCAAATATGTATTCTTTTAAAATATATATATTGGTAAGAATTCTGAAGAAATATGGATCAAACAACTGTCAACTGCTAGTTGATAATATCCAGTTATTCACTGTTCTCTAGACACAATATTTTTACACATTCATCAGTTTTATCTGATCTCATGAATTCCTTTATATTTGTTTCAAATATAAAATCCTTTTACTGTTACAAAACACAAATGTCAGAGAACAGAACCACAGAAGCTGAATGAGTGTTTTGGGAGTGTTTTGAAACTTCCAGCTAATTTTTCAGTAAGATGTCTATATGAATGAATGAAATATCTCTGGGCATGTGGACAGGAAAACGTAATCCCTTTATCTTTTCACTATACTTTTTTTTTTTTTTTAGTTCCGTTTTATGAAATAAAGGACAGTAGTAAACAGAGGAAGGCTAGGAAACTGCAATAGCAAGAACAACTAGGAGAGAATCCATAGGCATTAACCTATCTATGAGGAAAGGATTTAACAAGAATGAATTGTTTGGATGCTATGCTGCAATTCATGCACACATCCTTTTAAAAAAAACAATACAACATAAATGACAGCTTGCATTTGAACATAACCTTTAACTTTTCAACTAAACTTCACAAGGTAACTAGGTTACTATAATCCTGTAACTTTAATCAAAATAAAAGCTACAATCAATGAGCATTCTATATTTCTTGTACTACAAAAGAAGCAGAAAAAAAATCTGTTTAAAACACTTAAATATTAAAGTATTATTTGACTTGAAAAAAATTAACACTTTGAATGCATTAGACCTTTAGATCAGGCATATCAAACTGCCAGCCCACGGGCCGGATGCTTCATGCCGAAACTGCGCCCACCTCATTGTCAGCAATGGGGGGAAAGTCGCGATATGTCACAAGTTTGACATGCCTGCTCTAAATTAATACCTGGAAGTCGTATCTAGGAGCTCATTTTCTTCGTCAGAACTCATTTCTATCGGGAACATGTTTTCATCTTCCGTGGTATCTGCATTTTCATCTCTTTTTGAAATGTCTATTTTATGGGCAGATTTCCTTCTCCTCTTCCTCCTTTTCTTGACAGAACAACTTGCAGTCATGGATTCAGTTGCCGAAGGAGAAGTAGGGATTGGTAACTGTGAAGGACCAGCAGTGTCCATGCTCCTTAACCTATCAACAGAATTTCTCTTCAGCTGTAATTCCATGAGAGAAGATCCCTCGGACAAAATGGGGGATGTAGCCAAGTGGTATGGAATTGCCTCCTAAAGAAAGGAAACACAAGCCTGTTGGCATCTAATATTTGTGCAAAAGATGTGCTGTCAACTCAAACGTAACAACAGTGAATCTACACACTCCAAATCTGTCCTGCGCCAGTGAATCTTTCAAGGCCAGCAGAATATGGGTATGTGTATATAAACAGAAGCATAAATATAACTACTAATACACACATATACACACATGTCCATCCTTTGAAAAAAGCCCTCTTGACAGAAACTCTTTTGGAAAAAAACAAACTCAGAAAAATGTACAAATCAAGAAAACATCTCAAACTTAAGAACTGTGACTTGCCAATAAGTGACCCCTAATAATCCTTGATTATAAATGCTAACCACTTTGCAAACTCAGTAAATTATAATGATTTAATGTATTCACCTTATACACACATTATATTGTATGCCAGTTTTTCTCCGCTAATGGCTTTTCTGTAACTAAAGAAAATGGTAAAAACCCCTCATTTTATTCCATAATGTTTAGCTACTACCTGGCACAGTTCTTTGAAATAATTTGAAGAATGTGATCATGAGAACTAGTGGCTATTTTAGACATAAACCTAGTCCTTCATGACAAATAAAATGTGATGAGAAAAAAAAGCTTGATATAGTAGATAATCCTATCACAACTGATCTCTTAAAACAAACACCAATTCCTTGATTTGTTATTGTTTTCTATGTCCCCTTGGACACTATAAAATATGACAAACAAATACATATGGTGGGCTGGTCTCACCTCTTTGTCATCTGTTTCCTCTACAAAAAATGCTTCTCCATTGTCTCCTAATTTCATGTGCAAATCCACAGATTCTCCATTAATTTCTATGTCAACCTTAGAGAGAATACAAAACAAAACAACCCACAGATTAAACAAAATACCTCAAGAAAATATGACATGTTCATTCCTTAAGTGAAAGAACTTTTTACCCATTTTATAGCAACAGGATCCAAGTAGTTAAAGCACTTCACGTTACATCAGCAGTTTCTATTAAGACTGATCGGTTGTATTAGAATAACTGAGGCTGCCTTAAGTTCTGTGAACAAACTCATAATAGATGATACTGTCTGAATCCAGAACATCCCAGATATCCTTATTAGTTATTATACTACACCAAGTAACATTAGGAGTGAAGACCATAATCTAGCAAAAATTAAGAATTATTTACTTAGTCCAGGTAACATCTGATTTAAGATCTTTTAAATCTCTCTTGTTTCAATACAAGTTCTGGAATATGTGGTTAAAACCACATAATATAAAGTTCATAAAAGAGCTTGAAGCAGCCATTTATCAAGGGATAGGCTGAGGTGAGTAACTAAATAAGCTTTCATTGCTAGATAGGTGACAAAAGCACTTATGCAGAGCAAATAATTCCTGAGAACACAATTAGTCTGACTCACAGCAGTTATAACACATAGTTCTGTCACTTGCTGAAAAGGCGGATGATTATTTTTTTAAGAAATCCACAGGCATTGTCTCTTTATTTGGACTCATTGTCATTTGTTCTCCTTCAAGTGTGGTAGGAATAGAATCAAGCACATTTTTAAAAAAGATTAACTGGCTGTCAGACACACACCTGAGCTCTCCTTGTGACCGCCATATGCTAGGATGAAAATTGTTATTTATGGCTATTGCCACCATCCCCTTTGGGAAGCAAATGAAATAGAAGAGTGCGAAATTTTCAGGGAAAATGATAGAAAGGAAAGTCTACTGAGATTCTCCGTCATCCAGGTCATGCTTATCCCAAAGATGCCTTTTTAAAAGGCAACTGGACTTTGTTTTTTCTTTGAAAATGTTTCGCTTCTCATCCAAGACGTTTCTTCAGAACTGAAGAAGCTTCTTGGATGAGAAGCTAAATGTCTTCAAGGAAAAAAGAAAGTCCAATTGCCTTTTTAAAAAGCACCTTTGGGTAGAAAGGAAAGGTTTCAACTGTTCCAATCCTTGTGCCCATATGCAACCTGACATTCGACATCTTACCTATTTAACAAACGCAAATCTTTCCTTTTGCAATATTCTGGGCAAAGGGCGTACAGCTGACAAAGAAAAGTCAAGCTGAAGTTCTCTGTTTCTTACCACTTTTTCCTTAGAACGCAGAACTCCCATCTTTCCAAAGCGTACATGGAAAGGTGAACATTGGAGGTTTCCATTAGGCTGGCGGATAACAATGATATCAATGCATCCAGACAACGTGGCTGGATTTAATCCTCTATAGAGCTCCTTCACTGTCACAAAGACTTGCCCTGCTAATTGTCCAACGTAATTCATGGTTTGTGCCTGGAGATAAAAAACAAAAGCAAATTATCATTAGATTTGCTGATTTGCATTCCCACAACAGCTGCAGAAAACCCCTGCAAAGCCAAAGCAATTCTGCAAAAGAGCATTTAAAAAAAAAAAATCAGTCTTCAGTAGAATTGACCATATTTCTTCAGGCCAGATCTAATCAAATAAAGAATATGACCTGGCCTTCAAGAAGAAAATGAGTGGGGAAAAAGGATACTACAACAATAAAACTTAATCCCCTCACTCTTAGATCCAGGCATTTGCATTTATCACTGATTTCATTCTCCAGTTCATGCTATTATGAGCTTTTATATTCATTTGACTTACACCCATTGCAAGCGAGACTGAATCACTGAAGTAGCCATATCAATGGAGCAAGCCCCAGATAACATGCTGATAAGACATACAAGTATATATTCGGAAATATGTGATAACCAACCTTATAAAACCATCCTATTAAACATTGTGCATTAACATATGACCTTATAGGAGTCTGGCCAAGTTAATGCAACATGTCCCCAGGTAAGAAGGAAGAGGAGAGCCATCAAAGATGGGTACTCTCCACTGAGAAGGCAGGGAATAAAATGAGCAGATTAAATGCAAAGCACTTTTTTTCAGTGATTTTTTTTAAACAGCAGGAAATAACACCCATGAGTCTCAAAGGTAGACAGAATCCCCCAGGGAATAAGCAAAAGAGTAATTTAGAAAAGTTTAGAATCATAGATCAATAGATCACTCCAGACTCCATCATCAGGCTCCACAATACTCTTTGATGACTCTTGGGGATATGGAAGATCATTAAGTGACAAAAAAAAACAGGTTTCTTAAGGCTGGCAATATCTTAAGTCACCCATTTCAGGACCCTGAACAATTCCTGAAAATTGAACTAATTTTTCTCATCGGGCATTAAGAGGCAAAAATGATGATTTTTGCCCCTTAAATTCTGCCCAAGCCAGAAAGCCCTGCTTCAGTGATTTCATGTCATCAGCATTACCAGCTGCTATTCTTCAGGCTGAAAAAGTTTCTTTATCCTTTGATGTCCTGAGTTTATCCTACTTGTGATGAACAAAAGTTAGGCCTTGGTAAATCAGTGTGCTGTAAATATTAAACTTGAATTCAAAGTTTTACTGAAATTTTGGATGACCAGCCATATTTCTCAGTCTAACATATTACCATTATGAGTGGGATAATATATTTATCGATGCTGCTTTTGACTCCTTTTCAGAGGAACAGTGACACACAAATAATCCCTTAGCCCTTTTCTCTGACATAGCAACTGAGATAGTTGGTATTGTTTATAAAATACTTGAAAGTCTTCCCTTTAAATCAGTGTGGCGACTTTAAGATATATGGACTTCAACTCCCAGAATTCCCCAACCAGCATGTACTGTACTGTACTGTAAGTAGACAGGAAGATCTCCGTGCTGAAAACAACTAACGGGCCTCTCTCATCTAGCAAGACAAAATTCTGCTAACAATATATTTTGCAGGACATGAAGACTCAGATAAGCCGGCTTGTCGTAGTCAAACTATGAAACCATTATGAAAGAATTCCTGTGACTGCAAGCTCTGTTTATACCGCCAGCCTTCAGTTTCTTGCACTGCTTGCTTGTGCCTGCTCTACACATAAGTCTAAAAGCAATTCTCTTTTCTTGGCAGAAGATGTACTTGCTTCTTGTTTTGGTAGCAGCCTGTTCTTTTGTGTTTATGTAGACCAGTGGTTCTCAACCTGTGGGTCGGGACCCCATTTGGGGTCAAACGACCATTTCATGGGGGTCACCAAACCACACTGTCCGCCATTTTTTTCCCTTTTCCCTAGCTGTCCTACTCCCTCTTATTGGTGGCCACACCCACTTGGGGGTCACCACAACATGGGGAACTGTATTATGGGGTCACGGCATTAGAAAGGTTGAGAACCACTGATGTAGACTGTGTGAAAACTAATTCTCACAACAACCAAAATCAGTGATGATGGGATAACAGAAAAGGAGCAGAAAGAGTTGTGACTCCTATAAAAAGGATTAGAAGAAGGGCAAAAGCTAAATCGTGACCTATTGACTCTTGCCTGAATAATCTCCAATAGATCAGAAGCATTCGTTGTTTAAATTCAATAAAAAATAGAATAATTCAAAAATTGTGTGTTAACTCATCAGATTGCTAATCAAGAATGCTTGGGGGGAAACCAAAAATAAATTTTGCATGAAATGATTGATTCTCCTATGTTTCACAAATTCTTGGGCTGAGCACATGCTTAAAGACTGCTTTTTCTTCAATTTGTACCACATCTACATGCGGGCATCCCTCTTTTGAACAGGAATCCAACTGCTGCAAAAAAAAAAAAAGAACAAGTATAAACTGGACTCCAAAACTGCAGAGCATTGGCACAATGAGTAACAATAACAGAGGTCAACTGGAAAAGCACTCCAGGACAAGAAAGCAGATTTCTTTCATATCATTCAAAACAGACAGGGAGGGCCGGAGGGGGGGGAAACCAACGGTGGAAAGGCTATCTTCAGCCACAAAGCTATCTTTAGTTATTTCCATTTTTCCTCTTCGGCATGACCTCTTCTGCCCAGCCAGGATGCAGCAGAAAACATCCTGCCGAGCCACTGTCAAGTGTATTAAAGCCAGATTTTCTAGAATACTAAGAACTAGGAAATAGGCTGAAAGGACACAGAAGCATTCTAAAACCACAATCTACTGAAGAGCTCCTATGTTTCTCTCATAGCCTTCTTGGGCTACAAAAGTCTCCTCAAGCAGCACAAAAATAGACTTCCCCTCAATCTCTTTTTATTTCAGCAGGCAGGTCCAAAATATTATATGTTACTAGCATGATTAAGGAACCCTTTCTGATAACTCTAAGACAGGGTTTTTCAACCAGTGGTACGGGTACCACCTGTGGTACATTGGCACCTGGCAGGTGGTACGCGACCATCCTAGAAAAGTAGCGGGGGAGGGGAATGAGCTGAACCGGTGGTAGCAACGCACAAGCCTGAGCGAGAGATGGCTGGAGCTGCAGGGCTGTCAGGGCTGAGCGGAAGCACCAGAATCAGTACCACTTTCCAGCTGATCGGCACTTGTTCCAGGATGTCAGGGCTCAGTGGAAGCACCAGGATCAGCACCAGGCTCCAGCTGGAGCTCTGCATCAATTAGCTGGAAGAAGCACCGATCAGCTGGAATGTTGCAGCATCTCCAGGGTCTTGGGATTTACATTCAGATGCTTGGCAACTGATTCACATTTATGATAGTCACAGTGTCCCAGGGTCATGTGAAGTGACTAAAACCTGCTGCAACCGCCCAGCAGACGGGGGGGGGGAATAAAAACAAAAATCCCCCCACCCCACTCCCATTGCCAATCCTCAACAGAAATGCTCACAACAATGAAAACCTTAGACAGGAGGAAGAGCGCCACCGGGCGGGCAGGCTGTGGCTTAGGGGGGCACTTTTTTCAGTGCCATTGTAGCTTTGAACAGTCACTAAGCGAACTGTTGTAAGTTGAGAATTACCTGTACTTTATCACTTTTTCCTTTTTTGGGGGGGGGTCATCAAGTTTTTGACACCTTGCTAGGCGACTGGCGGTACTCAGATGTTGCCATATCCTAAAGGTGGTACAATGGGTGAAAAGGTTCAAAAGCCCTGCTCTAAGACACCTTCGTGTCCACCTAGTACAAGACGCTACCTGAGAGTGAAGAAGGGAAAAAAGAAAGCTGATCATGTGTGGTACGTACAGGTAGTCCTCGGATTATGGCCACAATTGAACCCAACATTTCTGTTGCTAAGTGAGACATTTGTTATGTGAATTTTGCCCCATTTTACGACATTTCTTACCATAGTTGTTAAGTGAATCATTGCAGTTGTTAAGTTAGTAACACAGTTTGTTAAGGGAATCTGGCTTCCCCGCTGGCACTGCTTGCCAGAAGGCTGCAAAAGGTGATCACATGACCCTGGGATAATGCAACCGTCATAAATATGACTCAGTTGCCAAGAGCCTGAATTTTGATCACATGACCATGGGGATGCTGCAATGGTCGTAAGTGTGAAAAATGGTCATAAGTCACTTTTCTCAGTGCCGCTGTAATTTTGAACAGCCACTAAATGAACTGTTGTAAATTAAGGACTACCTACATGGGTAAAAGTCACCATTGGCTGAAAGACTCTGCTCCTGTGGTTCAGGAGAGGTGGAGACCATTGGACACATACTCCTTCGATGTTCCTTCTCTAGAGCTATTCGGAAAAACCATATCCCCTCCATAATTGATAGGCATCCTGGTTGTTCGGAAAGTATTTATCTCCAGTGGCTGCTTAAGGATGAGCAGGCAGTGATCACAGTGCAGGTGGCTAGATTCTGTGCACCAGCATTGGGGATTCGCCAGAAACATAAATAAACATTTTAGATCTTTTTAATGATCTTTTATAATTAATGTTATTATGTGTTTTTATCCAGCATTAGACTATACTCAATGTATTTTTATTGTCAGGTCAGTACGATTCAGTTTTTCTGAAGCTAGCTAGTTTTTGTTATACTGTCTGTAAAAGTAGGCAGGCCTTGGTCACCCATTGATTACATCATTAATTGTAATAAATTGCTGTCTTCTTGTGTTGGTTCTGTTTAGTTTTGTTTAATTTATGTGTTGGCCTTTGGCTGTAATAATAAATTGATTGATTGATTGATACCTACATCGGTATAGTCCTTGTCTTATAACTATAGTTGAGACCAGAATTTCCGTGGCTAAATAAGGAGGTTGTTTTACAACCCGTTTGTCATGGTCGCTAAGCAAATCACTGCAGTTCTTAAGTGAATCATATGGTCATTAAATGACTCTGGCTCCTCCCCCTATTGACTTTGCTGGTTGGAAGCCGGCTGGGAAGGTTGCAAATCACAATCCCTTGACCCTGAGTTATTATCAATACTGGTTGGCAAGCTCCCAAATTTTAATCATGTGACTGTGGGGATGCTGCAATGATGATAAGTGAAAGGACCAATTTTATTGTAA